AAGCAGCGCAAGCAGCAGATGGTAACGGGGGGTGAGGGGTACGGGGGGCACGGGGGGGCCCCGTCCCGGTGCGGCGCCTCTCACCCGGCCTCCCCGCGGTGCCCCCCAGCTGCAGAAGCTGCTGCAGATGCGGCGGAAGGTGGTGTCGGAGGAGGAGCAGCGGGACAGCGGCGGGGAGCAGCGCGGCGACGAGGATGACATCCCCCTGGGGCCGCAGTCTAACATCAGCCTGCTGGACCAGCACCAGCACCTCAAGGAGAAGGCGGAAGGTGGGGGGGGAGCTGGTGGCAGGGCTGGGTGGCTGTCCTGGGGGTGCTGGGGCCAGCTAACGGCTTCCCTGGCTCTCCCCAGCTCGGAAGGAGTCAGCCAAGGAGAAGCAGCTGAAGGAGGAGGAGAAGATCCTGGAGAGCGTGGCGGAGGGCAGAGGTGAGTGCTGGGAGCTCCGTGGGCTGCGGGCAAGTCTGTAGAGCTGTCGGGCAGCAGGAGGGGCGCTGCCTGCTGTGCAGTGCTCGGTGATGTTCCACCCTGGGGTTGGGAAAGGGATCCCACTGCGAGCTCCTCAGCTGGTGTCTGACTGCCTGGCTTAGCTGGGAGCGTGCTGTCGCAGGCCCCTAGACCTAGCAGGCTGCAGCCCTCGGAGCTCCTGCACCCAGAGGTGCTGGCTGGCTTGCTGTCTACCCCTATGTCTGCTGCCTGGGGGTGGAGAGCATGCTCTGATCTTGTTGGCCTTGTTCTTGCAGCCCTGATGTCAGTGAAGGAGATGGCGAAGGGCATCACCTATGATGACCCCATTAAAACCAGGTGCGTTTCGCAGTGTGGGAGTTGTCTTTCTGGGAACCTCGCTGCCTTGCAGCTGACAAGAGCAAGATGCTGTGCAGCCTGGCAGGAAGAGCACTGCTCTGTGGCCATCAGCTTTACTGCACTGCCTGGCTTCATGCCCCTGTTAGTCAAAGCAAAGGCTGCTGAGCTGTCCACGATGTTGTTCTATATACAATAACTCTTGTTAAAATGCATTTATGTAAAATCTGAAGGCTTGAGCTGAGCTTTCAGATCTTGGGGAAAACTAAGTGAGAGAAAAAAGGGGAAAGCTCAGGGAGCCAGTGCTGCTCAAGGCCCCGCAGTGTCAGGGAAACAACCAGGCTGTGTCCAGATGTGTTGGCGTGGTTCACCCTGTTATCTGTAGTTTGTTCTCAGCTGCTAGCTTGGGGTGCTTGGAATTGGGGAAGGTATTTAATGGACTGGCTTGGGTCTGCTTATGAAGCCCCTTGGGGTCAGCTCTTTTCCACGGTGGGATAACAGAGCTCTACAGGGAGCTCTCCTCAGCCTCTGTTGGTGCTGCTGGCTCTGAAGTCGCTGGACATTTTACATCCTGCATTTTGTTCTCTTGCCTTCCCAGCTGGAGAGCTCCTCGTTACATCCTGGGCATGTCCGAGGCCCGGCACGATCGCGTCCGCAAGAAGTACCACATCCTGGTGGAGGGGGAGGGCATCCCGCCTCCCATCAAGAGCTTCAAGGAGATGAAGTTTCCAGCAGGTGGGAGCAGGGGGGGGCTTCTCTGGGGACACTCGTGTCCGGCAGTGAGTGAAGGTGTCAGATCCGTGCTGTGCTAGCAGGGTCACAGCTTAAATTCACAACAGTGGTTGTGTCACCTGGCTGCTGGACAAAGGGCTGCTGCTGAGGAGGGAATTAAAAGGGAAAACGGAGGAATACCTTTGGGTTGTGAGTGTGTGTGTGTGTCCCCTGTTCCCTGACAGCTATCCTGAGGGGCCTGAAGAAGAAGGGAATCCAGCAGCCAACGCCCATCCAGATCCAGGGCATCCCAACGATGTGAGTGCTCTCGCCCCGTCCCAGGAGTTGTTCCCCCTCCCTCCAGCCCACCGGGCGGTGTAAAACGGGCCCCGTGCCCTGGTGGCAGCGAGCCCCTTCCCCCTGCTCGGGCCTTGAGGCCTGATCCCTCCTGTAACCCTGTGGCTCACCTCAGCCCCATTTCTCCGGCAGCCTCTCGGGACGGGATATGATCGGCATTGCCTTCACCGGCTCCGGGAAGACCTTGGTGTTCACCCTCCCCGTCATCATGTTCTGCCTGGAGCAGGAGAAGAGGCTGCCCTTCTCCAAGCGGGAGGGACCGTACGGGCTCATCATCTGTCCCTCCGTGAGCACCCGGGGCGCGGTGGGGGTGGAAGGAGCTGTTATCGATATCAAGCACCCATCTCAGGCTCTCCCTGCGCGGGAGGGAATTAATTAACATGCAGGAATTAATTTTTTTTCCTCTTGTTTTCTCTCTGCAGCGGGAGCTGGCCCGGCAGACGCACGGCATCATTGAGTACTACTGCCGCCTGCTGCAGGAGGACGGGCTGCCCCCGCTGCGCTGCGCCCTCTGCATCGGGGGCATGTCCGTCAAGGAGCAGATGGAGACCATCAAACAGTAAGGCCTGGCAGGGAGGAAGTGCTTTGGTTGGGAGCCGCGCTTATTTTTTGTGGCAGGAGGGCTGAGGGGTGGAATCCTGAGCGGGGTGGGGGCGAAGGGGACGTGCCAGTCCCCCGGGTGCTGTGTGGGGCAGGAATCCAGGCTCCTGACCCTGCCTTTCCTCGTCTCTCAGTGGCGTGCACATGATGGTGGCCACCCCAGGCCGCCTCATGGACCTGCTGCAGAAGAAGATGGTGAGCTTGGACATCTGCCGCTACCTGGCCTTGGACGAGGCCGACAGGATGATCGACATGGGCTTTGAGGGGGACATCCGCACCATCTTCTCCTACTTCAAGGTACTGGGCTGGTAGGATACGAGCGCCCTGAAGCTCGATCCCTACACCCACCAATTTGGGTGAGCTCTAATTCCTTGCCTGTGCCCTGTTCCCCACGCAGGGCCAGCGGCAGACGCTCCTCTTCAGTGCCACAATGCCCAAGAAGATCCAGAACTTTGCCAAGAGTGCCCTGGTGAAGCCCATCACCATCAACGTAGGGCGAGCAGGTGCCGCCAGCCTGGATGTTGTGCAGGTGAGGTGCTTGGGAGCTCCCCGTGTGGAACCCAGCATGGTTTTTGGGGGTGCCGGTACCTCTCCCTGCCAGCCACGGGGTTAATCTCTCTGCTGCCTGCCTGACCCATTTTTTTGCTTCTTCCTAGGAAGTGGAGTACGTGAAGGAGGAGGCCAAGATGGTGTACCTCCTCGAGTGCCTGCAGAAGACTCCGCCACCCGTGAGTAACACGCTCTGGCTGCCCTGGGCGTGCTGCAGCCTCTGTTTGGGAGGGAACGGGTTTCTCAGGGCACTGTGCTCTTTGCCAGCACGCACAGGCCCCTTTTTCTAAGATATCTGTGTTGTGGCAGGTGCTGATCTTCGCGGAGAAGAAGGCAGATGTCGACGCGATCCACGAGTACCTGCTGCTCAAGGGGGTGGAGGCGGTGGCCATCCACGGGGGAAAAGGTCGGTGAGAGCGCCGGGGAGGCGTGAGCCTGCCGTGGCCCTGTCTGATCCCACTCACAGCGTGTAGGGTCCCAGCACCCAGCGGTTTGGGGTGGTCTGAGGGCAAACTGCGCTGGTGTCAGCAGTCCTAGGAGTGAACACTGCGGGTGTGAACGTCACGCAGGTCCCTCTGCCCCTTTATTTGGGGACAGGACGCGTGGGTCCTCACGCAGGCCGAGTGGTGCTCGCCTTTGAGGCCGCAGGGGTTGCTGCAGGAGGTAGGAGCGGGAGCTCTGCCCCTTGCTGATCTCCTGTGCTGGGCCTTTGCAGATCAGGAGGAACGGACGAAAGCCATCGAGGCATTCCGGGACGGGAAGAAGGACGTCCTGGTTGCCACTGATGTCGCTTCCAAGGGCTTGGACTTCCCGGCCATCCAGCACGTCATCAACTACGACATGCCGGAGGAGATCGAGAACTACGGTGCGGAACGGGCGCTGCGGGGGTGCTCGTGGGGGCAGGGGCTGGCTGTCAGGCCGCGTTTCCCCGAGCCTGACCCCTCTCTGCTTCTCTGCAGTTCACCGCATCGGGCGCACGGGCCGCTCCGGCAACACCGGCATCGCCACCACCTTCATCAACAAGGCCTGCGGTGAGAAGGGTCGGGGCTGGGGGAGTCGGGGTGGGCTGCAGCCCCACGCAGCTGGACAAAGCTGCTTTGGCGAGGGAAATGCTCCCATAGCAGGGATGAGTAATGGGAGGGGAAATCAGGGAAATCCTCAGGGGTCTGTGGGGTCGGGCTCCTGCTGGGGCTCCATCTGACCCCCATCTCTGCCCCCAGATGAGTCGGTGCTCATGGACCTGAAGGCGCTGCTCCTGGAGGCGAAGCAGAAGGTGCCGCCCGTGCTGCAGGTGCTGCACTGCGGGGACGAGACCATGCTGGAGATCGGAGGTGAGAGAGCCCGGCTGCGAACGGGGAACTTCTGCGGGGCTGACGGAGGGACGCGGGCTGCAGGCAGCGCCCCCTTGCTCGTGGGGTGGCTCTGCCTGACCCCGTTCCTCCCGTTACAGGGGAACGCGGCTGTGCTTTCTGTGGTGGCCTGGGCCATCGCATCACCGACTGCCCCAAGCTGGAGGCGATGCAGACCAAGCAAGTCAGCAACATCGGCCGCAAGGACTACCTGGCACACAGCTCCATGGACTTCTAGCCCGCCTGGGTTTTGTTTCCCTGTCAGCCGGGGCTCACATTCCAAAATGCAGACCCAGCCCTGGACCAGAGGGGCTCTCCTGCGCTGCTGCAGCCTGGTTTTGGGGCTGTTTTCAGCCCGAACTCCTGCCCTAGGAGGAGGTGTGTGGAGCAGCACGCTGCTGAGAGGTGCTGGGCAAGCAGGTGGCGGCACCCAGGGGGATGAGGAAGCTCCAGAGGCTGCTCCCCCTGCCCAGTGGTGTGTCCAGGGTCTCACACACTGCCCCCCAGAGCCCCTTAGCCTTGCCCCCATACCTCGGTACCTCGTTCCGTGCATCCTCAGCTCGTGGCTGTTCCCGTTGCCACCCAAAGAGCCCTGCTGCAGCCGGGCTGCGCGTACTGCGCTCGCGTCAGGTGCTCCCCTGAGAGCTTCCCTCGCTCTCGCGGCATGCGTTCTGCCCCGCTGCCCCGCTGCGAGAGGAAGGGCGGACGGACACCTCCCGTGGCCCAGCCTCTGCCCCTCATCCCACACACCGAAAAGGGGAAGTCTCAGAGAAGGAAGTCTGCCCCACACAGTTACCTCGGCTGCAATCACGTTTCTGTGCCGCTGCCTGCCCCAGTCCCAGAGCCTCGCGCTGACCGCCGGGGCTGCGCGGGGCCCATGGAGAGCCCGGTGAAGGATGGCATCCTCTATGTGCAGCACTGCAAATTTGGGAAGGTAAAAGGCAGGGGTGGGGGGTGAGGCTGGATAGAAGCTTTGCCCTCATCTATTTTGATGCTAGGCCTGCGCCCCCTGCTCCTGGGGAAGGGGGGGAACGGAGCCGGACCCCTTTGGGTCCTCCCAGGGAGGGCCCCACGCTCTGTATCCCCCCCCAGCGGGCTCCCCCACGCCCGAGGGGACCCATCCGTGCAGGCACCTGCTGGTGCTCAGCCCTGCGTGCTGCGTCCCTCCTGCTTGGTCACCGCAGGACTCTTGATGAATAAAGGCGTGGTAACGAGGCGCGGCTCCGTGCCTGTGTGCTGGGGGGCAGCGGGCGTGGGATGGGGTCTGGGTGGGCTGAGCAGCGCCCTCGGGTGGCACTGCAGGGAAAGCTGCTGGGCTTGGGACGGGCAGCGGGTGCTGTGGCCCTGCGGGTACCCCATAGGTGACTTTGTGGCAGTCCTTGTAGGGTGGCTCCAGCACCAGGGGGCTGCGAAGTGGGGTGATCACCGCCCCCGGGCCTCTCTGTCCTTGCTGGATGTGCAGGGCTGCCATTCTGTCCTTGTTCCTTGCTGCCCAGCACGAGTCCTAGAGCTGCCACGGGCAGTCCCTACGTGCGTGGGGCCGGTGCCCCGCCGCGTGGGAGGCAGCAGCTATGCTGGGTGCTCGGCAGCATGGTTTTTTTTTCCAGGGCGGAGGCTGTGCCGTGCGCCTCGAGGTGCACGGGGGCCACGCACCCCCTCTATTCCATGACGGGCTGGGAAGGCGCTGGTACCGCAGAGCTCCCCTGGGAGGAAGCGGGCTGCGAGCTGCAGGGCCTGGCTGCGCTGAGGCCCCGTGCAGATGCGAGGCTGCCAGCAGGAGCCCCAGCAGCTCAAAATGGCTTTAATTTGCATCACGGCCCGGCCTGAGAGCAGCTCGTGGGGCTCAGCTGCAGCAGCAGCAGCAGCAGGCCGGCGTTTGCAGCGGGGAGCAAAGCTCAGGACTCAGCGAGCCGCAGCGAGGGATGCTGAGGGCACTTGTGGCAAAGCCCCTGCCTCTGCCCTGCCTGCAGAGGCAGCGTGGAGGTGGCAGGCAGCTCTGCTGACCCTTTTTCCCCCTTATCTGTGCCCTTCTGCGCTCCAGCGCTCCTGGAGGAAGGTGCGGGCGCAGCTCTTCGCTGCCAGCCCCTCCGGCGTGGCCCGCATGGAGAAGTTCGACGTGCGGGACGAGGGCAAGATGCTGGACAAATCCTCCCTGCGCCGCTGCGCCCGCCGCGTCATCCGCCTCTCCGACTGCGTCTCCGTGGGCCCCGCGGGGGCCGAGAGCTGCCCCAAAGCCACCGCCGCCTTCTACCTCACCACCACCGAGAAGAACTACGTGCTGGCGGCCGAGCAGCGGGACGAGTGGATCGAGCAGCTCTGCCAGCTGGCTTTCCAGGTACCGCCCGCACCCCTCGCGCTGCTCCCGGCCCCGGTGAGCCCTGGGGGGGGGCCGCGCTCACCTCCCTCTGTTGCAGGGCACCAAGCAAGCAGCGCCGGGCAGCGCCAAGCCCCAGCCCAGCCCCGATGTCCCCATGGAGGAGAATTCCCTCTACTCCTCGCGGCAGGACCGTACGTGCGGTAGCGGGGCAGGGGTGGGCTCAGGGTGGGCGCAGTGGAGCTGACCCCAGCCTCGTTCTGCTCCCCCAGTGACTGATTTCTCGGTGCTGGTGCTGCGCACGGACTGCGGCCAGCTCGCTGTGGCCTCCACGGGCACTACCTGCTGGCCGCCCTGCCCCAGAGCCTGACGCTGAAGGACGCGCAGTCGCGGCAGCCGCTGCTCACCTGGCCCTACCCCTACCTCCGCAAATTTGGCCAAGATCAGGTGGGTGCCCCTCGCCCTCCCCTGCACCCTGTGTCCCCTCCCAGCAGCTTCCAGCCCCTCACCGTGCCCCCCGACCCCGCAGAACGTCTTCTCCTTCGAGGCCGGCCGCCGCAGCGACTCCGGCGAGGGCACCTTCACCTTCAGCACCCCGCGGGCCCTGGAGCTGTGCCGCGCCGTGGCCGCCGCCATCGCCTCCCAGCAGCAGGGCCAGGACCCCGCCGAGCCCCAGCTCTCGGCGCAGAGCCTCGAGCCCCCTCCCCGGGGATCAGGGGCCAAGGATCCGCAGCCCAGCCCCCCGGTGGGGAGGGCGCAGCCCCCCTCGCACCCGCCGCCCCCCCGTCTGTGCTTCCACCCCTCGGAGCCCTGAGCCCCCCGGCCCCATCGTCTACGCCTCCATCGCTCGGGGCCAGCAGCCTCTCTTTGGGACGGGGCGGGCGGCAGCCAGCGAGCCCTGGGTGGCGGGGGGGAAGCCGCCCCCCTGAGCACCTCTACGAGAACATCTTCACCGCTGAGCCGCGGCCCCCCAGTGCCCCCGCGGAGGAGGAAGAGGAGGATGAAGAGGAAGAAGGGCGCTGGGAGCTGGGTTCTCGCCAAGCCCCCGAGGGCCGCAGCAGCGAGGCTGCTCACGTCTATGACCCCCGCAGCTCCCCGGCACCTCGGCGGGGCAGCCCCCAGCCCCCTCCCCAGCAGCCCTGGGCTCGGGGGGCTGCGGAGGAGCCCCCGGGGGGGCGCCCGGGCCCTAAACCCCCCGGCACCCTGCGGGCCCGCTTGGTTCGCCTGCTGAGCCGGGAGGGGCCGGGCCCGCGGGACTGGCTCTGAGCCTCCCCGGCCGCGTTCACCCCCGGCTGCTCAATAAACGGCCTGTGCCGCACCCGGCTCCGCTGCTGCTCCGCGGGGCCGCGCACCGGGACCGGCCCCATCCGCGGGAACGCGCCCGCCCCCCCCCCTTTCCCAACCCAACCCCTCCCTGTTGCTCCCATCCCGCCAGGGGGCGCCCGCCCCGTCGGAGGTGGCGGGAGTGGGAGCGGGCGCGGGCGCTGATTGGCCGAGCCGCCCGCTGGCCACGCCCCCCTCCCGGCCCTATATAAGGCGCGGCGGGGGGGCGGGGCCCGGGTTCGAGTACCGCGGCCGCCGGCTCCGCTCCGCTCCCCTCCGCTCGGCCCCGCCGCGGCCACAGCCCCGCGGCCCCGCTGCCCCCGGGGGCCGGCCCGGCCCCGGTGAGTGCGGGGGGGGGCTGCTTACAGAAGGGGTGGGAGCAGGGGTGGGGGGCTGAGGGTGTAGGGCTGGGGGAAAGCGGGGGTTTGGGGCCGGGAGGGGCAGGGCAGGGCTCCCAGTACGGGGATGGGGGCTGCGGAGGGGGGCCAGGGGTTCCTATAGGGTGTGGGGGGGTGTTAGGGGTGGGGGAGGTCCCTGTGGGGCGCAGGAGGGTCCCGGTGGGGTAGGGGGGGCTCAGCCCCGCAGCCCCCCAGCAGCAGGTGGCCCCGTGGGACGTGGCTGTGCCCACCCTCCCGCAGGGCGCACGAGCAGAGGGTGGGGGGCTCCCACCTCGCCCCCCCCCCAGCTCCCTCAACCCCACCAGCCCCCAGTTTAGGGCTGCCAGACCCCCCCCCTCCTCCCACCCCCACGGTGCTGCCGGGGACCCCACCTCGTCCCCTCCCTCCCCGCCCCGGCGAAGGCAGCGCCGCGCTGGGGGCTGCTGCGTGCCGGGGAATGTCTGACCCGGGGAATGTCTGACACGCAGCCTGCACCCAGCCCCGGCGAGAGGGAGCCTCCGGGTGTCAGCTTACACGCCTTATATAGCCCGGGTTAGGCCCGGGGGGAGCCGGGACACGACGGCCCCCAGCCCCAAGCGAGGCGTGGGGAGAGCCGAGCCCGTCCCGCTCCCGTTCCTCGCATTCAGGGCTCGGGAAGGGCACCGCGGCTCTCCCAAAGCGAGGCACGGTTGGGGCTGGCCAAAGTGCCCGGTGGCTTGGCGGGCTGACAGCTGTCAGTGTGGTGCTGGCGGGCAGGGATGCGCTGGGATTCCCTGCCCCAAACCCCGGCGCTGCGTGTGGTTCCCAGGTAGCGTCTGCGCAGCCAGCTGCCTCTCAGGGCATCCCACAGCTCCCCTGCTGCTGCTCATCCACCCGGCAAAAAGGCTTCTGGTTCCCAGCCCTGCCAGCTGCCACCTCTCCGCTGGCTGAAACGGCCTCGGGGGTTTTGGGGTGCTGCGAGGAAGAGCCCGTGCCAGGTTTGGGAGAGGGAGGGCAGCGCCCGTCTGGCTCCCCGGTGCCCCTCAGCTCTGGCGCTTCCACGGGAGATGCTGATGGATTTGGGGTGCGTCGGTAACCGCAGTGTGGGCTGGTCGGGGTGGAGCTGCTGCTGGAAACGTGACCTGTCTCCTCCTGCCCCGTCCTGCCGGGCCCCCTCCTCGGCTGCTCTCCCCACGCCGTTCCCACGTCGCGCCCCGCTGGGCTCACCCCCCCTCTTCCCTTGCAGAGATGGGCGACATGGAGTCCTACAAGGTGATGCTCAACGGGCCGGCGCCCTGGGGGTTCAGGCTGCAGGGAGGGAAGGATTTCAGCATGCCGCTCTCCATCTCTAGGGTAAGAGAAGCCAAACACCAGCGTGGCCCATTCTCCTCTGTCTCTGTGGATTTGGGGCCACAGCACCGAGGCAGCAGAGGCAGAGCCGTATGGGGGATGCAGGCGAGCTGGGGCCCCGGGAGTGCTGTGCCCAGCCCTGCCTGGCTCTGCGTAGCCTCCCCGGAGCCGCCTTATCAGCTGTGCTGTGGCAGGGGGGGTGTGTGTGTGCTGGGGGTGTTCCGGGCAGAGAACCGCAGCAGCGCTGTGTAACGCTGCTCAGCCTCTGCAGAGTCATCCTGGCTGCTGGGGGAGGCAGGGGAGGCCTCTTCCGGAGCGAGCCCCGCGCAGGGGGAGGGCGGCTGCTCTCCGTGCGTCTGAGCCGCGGGGCCAGCTCCGATCTGCACCGTCCTGGGGCCTGGTTTGTGCAGGGCACTCGCCCCGTCTGCCCGAGGCTGCGGTCCTGCTGGCACGGGACACATCCTATCCACAAAACCAGCTCGTTTCCTGAGCGCAGGCACACCCGAGCTGTTGTGCCGCCTGCTGCTCCTGCCTGGGGCACCTGGTGCGAGCCTCCCCCGGCGCGATGCTCACCAAGGCCGGGTCTGGCCCCTGGGTGCGTGTAGGTCCCTGTCCCTGGGTGGCCTGGCCCACGGGTGCTAGCAGCAGCTCCGGCCACAAAATTGCCTTATAAGCCTCGGAATGCGCCTGCACCGCCCGTGCTGCTGACGCTCGGGCAGCTGGCACGGGAGGCTGCTTCTCTGAGGACGGCCACGCCGGCGGCACCGGGCGCAGTGTGGGGGCCTGCCCCCGGCACCAGCCTTGGTGCTGAGTGCCCATCCTCGAGGTGGGGGTGTCCGCAGCGCCCAGCACGCAGCTCCCACCTGGGGGGCACCGTGCGAGGCTGCGATCGCCCGCACCGCTGCCCTGGGGCCAGCCGATCCTCGCCGAGCGCGGAGACGGCTTCGGCGAGTTTATTCTCTAAAAAATGTTTCTCTTGGCTGCGAGCCAGCGCTTAACAAAGGGTCTGATCAGACGGAGGAGCCTCCGAGGGCCTAGGGCAGGGGCCTTGCGAAGCAAGAAGCGATGTGCGCGCAGGCCAGCCCCGCTGCAGGGGCTCGGGAAGCGCAGGGCAGGGCAGAGCGGTGCCTGGGGCCCGGGGCGAAGGCGCTGGGGCTGCAAGAGGCTTCTGAGGAGCATGGGGCTGGGCAATAGTGTGAGGAGCAACAAGGACGTGCCCAGGGGACACAGCCAGCTTTGGGGGGTGATGCTGGGCTGTGTCGCTGTCTGATGGCTGCTCCCAGCCCTGAAGGTGCCGCCTGGAGCACACAAGAGGCTCTGTGGGGTCCTGACGCCTCGGCTGCGAGGTGTCCCCAAGGTGGCAGAGCTGAGGTAGGAGCGGCAGCAGGCAGTGCGTGGCTCATCCTGGAGCGTGGCAGCAGGGAGGAGGAGAGACCTGGGTGCTGCGGGCGGGAGGGATGCTCCTCGTGCCCAGCTCACCTTGCTGGTGAGACGCGGAGCCCTGCGGGGAGGCCGCCCGGTGGCACCCAGAGGTGTGGGGAACAAAGGCCTGGCTGGGCGGAGAGGTGGAGGAAGGAAACCAGGGCAGGAGCTTTAGCCCAGGGGGCAGGAAACGGGAAGGCCAGAGCGGGTCCTGGCCGAGCCCGAGTCCGGCTGAGCTGGCATCTGCAGGAGGGGCTTCCTGGCGCGGCCGTGCCGGTGCTGGCGTGGGCCGGGCGTGCCGGGACACAGCCTGCCGCGCTCCCCCTCCCCGGGCAGCCGTGCGAAAACCTCTCCCAGCTCCAAACCCACGCAGCCACGGCTCCTTCCCAGCCCCGAGGGCAGCAAGCCGGGACGTGCAGGAGTGGCCGGGAGCATCCTTCTGTCCCGAACGCCGCAGGGGATGCCCGCGTCCCTTTTGGGGACTGGTGGCGAGGTGCTGGTGGAGCCGCACCATGCCTGGCAGCTGGGGGAGGATTTGGCCTGGTACAGGAGGGGGTCTAAGTACCTGGGGCAGGGAGCGCTGCGCCCAGGGCGGGTCGGGCTCTGCGCATGGGCGAGGAGGGCCCCGATGCTCGGCGGCAGGGATTTTCCAGCCCTCTGACAGCGCTGGGAATCTGGCTCGCTCCTTTTATGTTCATGTCGAACAGGGCTTGAGGAAATACTTGGTCCAAATCCAAGCGCCTTGAGTTCTTCCGCGCTGGAGGAGCAGGAATGGCTGCAGCCTGCCCACGTCTGTCTGTCTGACTCCTCTGTCTGTCTGTCAGTGCCTGGGAGCTGCCTTGCAGCGGCGCTGGGGCCTGCGCCCTGCTCGCCCCTCGGCTGCGCATCCCCAGCAGGAGCTGAGGGTGTTTAGGGTCGGCAGGGGCGATCCAGGCACATCCCAGCCCTGTAGCTGAGCTGGGTGAGGGGTCCGAAGGGCACAGGAGCGTGGCCCAGCTGGGGGATGCGGGGTCTGTGTCCCCCCCGTGTTCCCAGCTCCAGGCTGGGAGAGCTCCTGTGGTTTGTGGCCCTGAGGGGTGAGACGTGGGCTGCGTGCCGGGCCCTGACTCACCCCGCTCACTTCCAGCCCTGACACCTCAGGGAGCGAGGCAGAGCCAGCACGGCCTCTGCTGCTGGGCATCACCTGGAAATCCCGGGCTATCCATGGGGATGGGGACGGCGCTGTCCCCGGGGTGCTGGCACAGCCCCCGGCCGTGCTGTGCCGTCAGGGCAGTGTCTGGGGTTAGTGCTTGGCTGCTGCAGCCAGGGAGAGGCCGCTGTGGGTTAAAGAACTGGGAAATGTGGGGTGGTCTGGGGGTCTCTGCGTCAGCCTGGCGCTGCTCTGACCCTACACTGCTGCAGCACCGTGCTGCAGGCTGTCCTAAAACGGGACGAGGCACCGTGAGGGGTGTCCTTTGGCGTCCTGTGCCTGGCTGACCTTGTCGCTGGCTCTCGCGGGGACAAATCATCCCTGTGCCAGGCTGGCCAGCTCCCCCTGACTCTCTGTGTCCTGCAGCTGACGCCGGGCGGGAAGGCAGCCCAGGCTGGCGTGGGAGTGGGCGACTGGGTGCTGTACATCGACGGCGAGAGCACCAGCGCCATGACGCACATCGAGGCCCAGAACAGGATCCGTGCCTGCGGGGACAGGCTCTGCCTCACGCTGAGCAGGTAGGGGCTTGTGGGGTGCGTAAATACGGGGTGCTGGTGTGGCCAGAGCCAAGCTGGGGCCCTCTGCCCATTGTCCCCTCTGGTCCTGCTGCCCCAGAGCAGCTCCTGGCCCTCACCTCTGCCCACGGGGCAGTGCCACGGCTCCCTTGGGTGTGAGCACCCCATCGGTCCCGTCCGTGGGGGGGGGATGGCTGCTGGGCCCCTGCAGCTCCTGCCTCACCGTCTCCTCTCTTGCAGAGCCCAGAACCACCTGGGGAAGCCGCAGAAGGTAGGTGTTGCTGCATCGCTGCCTGCAGCAGCTCGGCCCCGAGCTGGGGGTGGGGAAGGCTCCGAGTTTATCCGGAGGAGCGGACTTTGCTCCTGGGGCCCAAAGGCTTCTTGGGGACCGGGGTGTGTTTGGAGGGCTGGTACGGCAGCTCTGAGCCCTAAGGACACGAGAGATTGGGGGGAGCAGGACCTGCCCCACAGGTGCCCAGTCCCCAGCTGCCACCGCTGGTCCTGGGTGCGGGCAGGGGTGCGGAGGGGCCAGGCAGCAGCAGCACGGCCTTTGGGCCCTATATTTGCCGGTGCTGGAGCTCCCTGGCACAGAAACTCCCTCCTTCCTGCTGCACGGGGAGGCAGAGCCAGGGCCAGCGGCTCCTGGACAGAAGCCACCTGCATGCCTTTAGCTTTGTGCCACGGGATGGTTGCGAGCAGCGCGTGTGCATGCCCGGCCCCGCCACGGGGCAGCAGCGAGCGTGTGGGGCACTTACTAATCCTACAGCAAACCCTCGGGACGGGCGTGCAGCCTGGTGTCCCTGGGCTGGATGCCCTGCGGAGAGGGGACCTGGCTGGCAGAGCCCGGTGCCCGAAGCTCACGCGCTGTCCGTGTTTGCGTGCCCGGGTGCGTGTGGCAGGCGAGGACGAGCCCGGCTTTTCCACCTATCTGCCCGCTGCGCTGCCTGGCCCGGGGCTGCCCCTTGCATGCTGCTTGACGTGTGAGCCCGTGTCTGTGTGTTTTGTCTCGCTCAGGACTCACTCCCCTGCTCTGAGCCCCCGAAATATAACTTCGCTCCCAGCACCGCCCTCAACAAAACAGCTCGGCCCTTTGGGGCCGGCTCGCCTCCGAACCCACGGCCCGGGCTGGTGACGAAACCCGTGACGTACGTGCCCCTGGCGCCCGCCTGCACCCCCCAGCACAATGGGTATGTTGCTGTCCATCCCGCTCCCTGAGAACACAGGGGAGCCCGCTGCCCGGCCCCGCTGCGCCTTGCATGCCAGGCACCCGAGGGTGGGAGCGGGCGACGGTGCCCGTGCCGGGTCTGAGACTGGTGCTGAGACCACGTAACAGGACCGCCACGCGTGGGGACACGCTCACGCCTGCTCCTCGCTCGGGGACGTGTCCTCCTCCGCTGGCCTTTGGGGAGCCCCACGGGGCACAGCCATCAGAATACACTCACTGGCATCTGCGACAGCCCTGCAGCAAGGGGCAGGAAGGCTGTGGCTGCTGTGGATGCTCTCGGCAGCCCAGGGTGTTCTATGGGGCTGTGGGGACGGGCTGGCAAAGGGAAGCCCTGCACGGTGCTGCCGTGTGCCCAGCCAGCTGCTGCTCCCTGCCCGTCCTGGCCACAGCACCCTGGAGCTGGGTGATGGGGGGATGTAGCCCTGGCTGCCCTCCGCACCCAGGCCCATTTTGGGGGGCCGGGGGCAGCACAGAGTGCACTGTTGGCAATGTCCCCGCGGCCCAGCGTGCTCCCAGCCCCGGGCGAGCTGGACACAGGTGGCAGGGGGAGTGGTGCAGGCTGTAGGTGAGCTCTGGAAACTTCTTGGGTGCTCTGGGTCTAATTTCACCTTCCTTCTCTTTCTTTCTCTCCTCCCTTTCTCTTTCCCTTTCCCCTACAGGTGCAGAGCCTTGACAAGTCAGTAAGCCTTTTGCCTGCTCTCTCTAGCCTTCCTGCATGCCTCTTGCCCTGTTACTCCCCTGCTGGTGCCCCGTACACCTGGGGCAGGGTTAGCCTGGTGGCTCGGTGTCACTTGGGCCACGTGGGTCTCTCCTGGCATCAAGCTGTCCTTAGAGATGCTGGCTGTGGGGGCACTGGGGTGTCCTCGCACCTGGTCGTTTTTCTCTCCAGCATGTGGAAAGCTGCGCTGCGCACCCTGCCCATAGCACCACAGGTGTTTGCCAGGCCCCCGTACTGCTCCCCGGTGTGTGATTTTGCTCTTGGCTTTCTCTTGCCCTGTCCTCTCTCCTCCTGGCCTTTAGGGCCAGCCTCAAACTGCAGAGATGGAAAATGAGTGCTGAGAAGACGTCCTTAGTGGGCCCTTCCTATGTGGACGATAAGTAAGGGGTGGGGAGGACGTGCGTATTTGGTATTTGGAGCGTGAAATACTTGCTGTTGTGAGCCTGCGGAGGTATGGGGTGGCCTTGGGGAGGTGGTGACGCTGTGGGGATCCCCATGGGTCTGTGGAGCAGCGGTGGGGATGGGACATGGGCAGCGCTGCCCCATTCCAACAGCCGGGCAGGGACAGGACGGTGCCAGCTGAACGCCCGCCCCTGTTGCTCGCAGGCAGCCGCCGCAGCACCCCACTACCCCCATATATGACCCCAGCAAGTTGCATCTGATCGAGGACTCTGAGGACTGGCAGCCCCGCAACACCAACACCCAGTCCCGCTCCTTCCTCAAACTGGCCCAGCTGACGGGCACAGACAGCCGTAAGTTCCCGTGGGCACTGGTGCTTCCAGCAGCCCAGGGTGCCCAGAACAGGCCCTGGATGTGGGATGAGGTGGCATCAGTTTGTGGCCGTGGTGGCCTCGTGGTGTCCCTATATGTGGCATGGGCCGTGTGTGGGCACATGGTGGTGCCGTGGGTCTGCTTTGGGGCAAGCAGGGAGGGGGTGCCCGGTTCTGTTCCGTCATGCCGTGTGGGGTGTGTGGGGCCGTGGCTGTCCCCGACTGACTCTGTCTCCTCCTTTCTCCCCGGCTGCCCTCAGTGGAGGATCCCGATGAGGAGCTTGTTAGGAAGCCCAGGTAAGGGGTGGGCAGTGGGGGTGTAGCATGAGCCATAGGGCCTGCGGTGCTGGGGCTCAGCCCCCAGCCCGTTCTCCCTCCCACTGTGTCTTCTGCCCTGCCACCTCCTCGCCCCCTGCCCCTCACTGTCCTTTCTGTGTCTGCAGAGCCGAGGTGGTCACTGCGCTGCAGCACCCGCTCTGTGCTCTCCTCCGTGGTGAGCACTGCCAGCACTTGGCCACTGCTGTGCCCGTTCCGTTGTGAGGTTCCTGCCTGGGACGGTCCTGTCCAAATCTAGGGTGTCCTAATGCTGGGCTGTCCCCAGCTGAGGTGTCCCCGGCAGGACCCAGGGCACTGCTGGCACTGGGGAGGCTGAGCTGCACCGCTGCACCCAGGACACAGCGGGGCGGTGGGGTCTGGGGGCACCGGCAGAGCCTGGCTGTGGGTGTAGGGAGCTGCTGGGCATCGTCTGGACCTCGGGCACAAAATCCTGTGATCGTGATCTGGGGCTGTGGGGGAGCTGGAATTGAGCGAGTGCTGCTGGCGTCACCATGGGGCTGCGGACAAGCCTTTGGGAATGCTCGGCCACGTGCCAGCCATTTACCGTTGTGCCGTCATTTTCTTGCCGCCGCAGGGGTCCTCGTGTGTCATTCTGGGGTACCGAGGAGGAGTGGTGAGTGCTGGGCTGTGCCGGGGGTCGGGGTGTGCCTGGCCCCTGGCAGCGCTGCCCCACGCCGCTGGCTATCAGAAGCAGGGGCAGGTCGGTGCCAGCTGAGCGCCTGCCCCTGTCACTTGCAGCCAGCCCCCGCACTCCCCTGGGACCCCCATGCGTGACCCGGGCAAGTTGCGGCTGATCGAGGATGCTGAGGACTGGCAGCCCCGCACCGGCACCTCCCAGTCCCGCTCCTTCCGCAAACTGGCCCGGCTGACGGGCACAGATGGCTGTAAGTTCCTGCAGGGCCTGGTGCCCAGAGCTGGCCCTGGGTGTGGGGCCGAGTGTCGGGGTCTGGCCATGGTGGCCCCATGGTGGCCCTGTGTGTGGTGTGGGCTGTTTGGGGGCAGCAGGGAGGTGTGCCCGGTTCTGTTCCGTCATGCCGTGTGGGGCCGTGGCTGTCCCCGACTGACTCTGTCTCCTCCTTTCTCCCCGGCTGCCCTCAGTGGAGGATCACGATGAGGAGCTTGTTAGGAAGCCCAGGTAAGGGGTGGGCAGTGGGGGTGCAGCATGAGCTCCTGGCCATGGGGCCCACGGTGTCGGGGCTCAGCCCCCAGCCCGTTCTCCCTCCCACTGTGTCTTCTGTCCTGCCACCTCCTCGCCCCCTGCCCATGCTGGGTACTGCCGGTATCAGCCACTGCTGTACCCATCCTGTCATGAGGGTCCTGCCCCAGCACTGCCCTGCCAGGCTGGGCTGTCCCCACCCAGGTGTCCTGATAGTGGGGTGTCCCCAGTTGGGGTGTCCTGGTGCTGGGTGTCCCCATGCGTGTGTCCCCGGCAGGACCCAGGGCACTGCTGGCACTGGGGAGGCTGAGCTGCACCCACTGCATCCAGGACACAGCGGGTCGGTGGGGTCTGGGGGCACTGGCTGTGGGTGTAGGGAGGTACGAGGCAGCACCGGGACCTCAGGCAAGGCAGCCCGTGGGGCTTCCTCCTGGCTGTTTTGGGACAAGTTCTGTCAGCATCTTTGGTGGGCTGAGGATATGCCAGGGGAATGCTCCACGCCGTGTGCCAAGCATTTACCGTTGTGCCGCCATTTCCTTGCCACCGCAGGGATTCCCGCGGGTCCTTCTGTGGCACAGTGGAGCAGCGGTGAGTGCGGGGCTGTTGTAGGGTTTGGTGTGTGTCAGGCCCTTGGGCAGCTCTGCCCCGTGCTGCCAGCTGGGCAGGAGCAGGGGCAGGATGGTGCCAGCTGAGTGCCTGCCCCTGCCACTCGCAGACAGCCCCTGCAGCCCATGGAGCCCCCCAAGACCCCCACGTGTGACCCGGGCAAGTTGCGGCTGATCGAGGACGCTGTGGACTGGCAGCCCCACACCGGCACCTCCCAGTCCCGCTCCTTCCGCAAACTGGCCCAGCTGACGGGCACAGATGGCTGTAAGTTTCTGTGGGGCCAAGTGTCAGGGTCTGGCTGTGGTGGCCCCATGGTGTCCCTGCGTGTGGTGTGGGCAGTGCGGGGCCTTGTGGTGCTGCTGCGGGGCTGTTTGGGGCCAGCAGGGAGGGGGTGCCGGGTTCTGTTCTGTCGTGCTGTGTGGGGCTGTGGCTGTCCCCGACTGACTCTGTCTCCTTTCTCTCTGGCTGCCCTCAGTGGAGGATCACAATGAGGAGCTTGTTAGGAAGCCCAGGTAAGGGGTGGGCAGTGGGGTGCAGCATGAGCTCCTGGCCATGCAGCTGGCTCAGCCCCCAGCCCGTTCTCCCTCCCACTGTGTCTTCTGCCCTGCCACCTCCTCGCCCCCTGCCCCTCACTGTCCTTTCTGTGTCTGCAGAGCCGAGGTGGTCACTGCGCTGCAGCACCCGCTCTGTGCTCTCCTACGCGATGGGCACCACCAGCACTGGGTCACTGCCGTGCCCGTCCTGTCATGGGGGTCCTGCCCAGGCACCGTGCAGACAGACTGGGCTGTGCCCATCCAGTTGTCCTAATGCTGGGCTGTCGCCAGCTGAGGTGTCCCCGGCAGGACCCAGGGCACTGCTGGCACTGGGGAGGCTGAGCTGCACCGCTGCACCCAGGACACAGCGGGGCGGTGGGGTCTGGGGGCACCGGCAGAGCCTGGCTGTGGGTGTCGGGACGTGCAGGACAGCAGCGGGACCTTGTCACGAGGCAGTGGTACTGGTGTGGGGCTGCAGGGAGGCTGGGCTGGGCCTAGCACTGCTGGCGTCACTGTGGGGCTCGGGTTAAGTCATGGGGAATGCTCCATGCCAAGCATTTACCGTTGTGCTGCCATTTTCTCAACGCCGCAGGGATTCCCGCGGGTCCTTCTATGGCACAGAGGAGCAGTGGTGAGTGCCGGGCTGTGCCAAGGGCCGGTGTGTGCTGGGCCTTTGGGCAGCACGGCCCCGTGCCACCGTCTGGGCAGGGACAGGATGGTGCCAGCTGAGCCCCTGCCTACTCGCAGGCAGCCTGTGGAGCCTGAGGAGCCCCCCGAGACCCCATGCTTGTGACCCGGGCAAGTTGCGGCTGTTTGAGGACGCTGTGGACTGGCAGCCCCGCACCGGCACCTCCCAGTCCCGCTCCTTCCGCAAACTGGCCCGGCTGACGGGCACAGACGGCTGTAAGTTCCTGCAGGGCCTGGGTGCGGGGCCGAGCGTCGGGGTCTGGCCATGGTGGCCCTGTGGTGGCCCTGCGTGTGGTGTGGGCCCTGTGGTGGTCCTATGGGGCTGTTTGGGGGCAGCAGGGAGGGGTTTCCCAGATTTGTTCCGTCATGCCACGCGGGGCCGTGGCTGCCGCCGACTGACTCTTTCTTCCTCTCTTCCCGCCGCACACAGTGCAAGATGATGATGTGTTTGTTAGGAAGCCCAGGTAAGGGGTGGGCAGCGGGGCGCAGCACGAGGTGGGCTGCATGTCCCGGGCAAGGCGCTGGGCACTGCTGGCACTGAGCTGGGGAGGTTGAGAGGCACTGCAGCCTCTTGTGCTGCTGTGTTATGTAGGAGAGTGGTGGCACTGGAAACCGTGCTGTGGGTGCTGGGCGGTGCTGGGCAGTGCTGGGATTCCTGTCACAAGAGCCCAGGAGGTTCCTGTGGGGCTGCAGGGGCCAGGCACTCACACTGGTGGCACCTCTTGTGCCTTCCCATTTCCGTCATCCCTCCTGCCTTGGTGTTGTGAGCACTGGGTCCCCAAGCTGGGAGACAGCATGGGCACAAGGGCAGCTGGCATCTTGTGGGGTGGGGATATGCCAGGGGAATGCTCCACGCCGTGTGCCAAGCATTTACCATTGTGCCGCCATTTCCTTGCTACCACAGGGATTCCCGTGGGTCCTTCTGTGGCACAGTGGAGCAGCGGTGAGTGCGGGGCTGTTGTAGGGTTTGGTGTGTGTCAGGCCCTTGGGCAGCTCTGCCCCGTGCTGCCAGCTGGGCAGGAGCAGGGTCAGGAGCAGGACAGTACTGGCTGAGTGCCTGCCCCTGCCACTCGCAGGCAGCCCGTGGAGCCCCCCGAGACCCCCGCGTGTGACCCGGGCAAGTTGCGGCTGATCGAGGATGCTGAGGACTGGCAGCCCCGCACCGGCACCTCCCAGTCCCGCTCCTTCCGCAAACTGGCCCGGCTGACGGGCACAGACGGCCGTAAGTTCCTGCAGGGCCTGAGTGCGGGGCCGAGTGTTGGGATCTAGCTGTGGTAGGCCCGTGGTGTCCCTGCGTGTGGTGTGGGCAGTGTGGGGCCATGTGGTGTTGCTGCGGGGCTGTTTGGGGCCAGCAGGGAGGGGGTGCCAGGTTCTGTTTCATCGTGCTATGTGGGGTGTGTGGGGCCGTGGCTATCCCCGACTGACTCTGTCTCCTCTTCTCCCCGGCTGCCCTAAGTGGAGGATCACAATGAGGAGCTTGTTAGGAAGCCCAGGTAAGGGGTGGGCTGCGGAGCACAGCACAAGCCATGGGGCCCACGGTGCTGGGACTCGTTCCTGGCCCATTCACCCTCCCACTGTGTCTTCTGCCCTGCCACCTCCTCGCCCCCTGCCCCTCACTGTCCTTTCTGTGTCTGCAGAGCTGAGGTGGTCACTGCGCTGCAGCACCCGCTCTGTGCTCTCCAAGATGGGCACCACCAGCACTGGGCCAATGCTGTGCCCGTTCCGTTGTGAGGTTCCTGCCTGGGACGGTCCTGTCCAAATCTAGGGTGTCCTAATGCTGGGCTGTCCCCAGCTGAGGTGTCCCCGGCAGGACCCAGGGCACTGCTGGCACTGGGGAGGCTGAGCTGCACCGCTGCACCCAGGACACAGCGGGGCGGTGGGGTCTGGGGGCACCGGCAGAGCCTGGCTGTGGGTGTCGGGACGTGCAGGACAGCAGCGGGACCTTGTCACGAGGCAGTGGTACTGGTGTGGGGCTGCAGGGAAGCTGGGCTGGGCCTAGCACTGCTGGCGTCACTGTGGGGCTCGGGTTAAGTCATGGGGAATGCTCCATGCCTCGTCCCAAGCACTTACTGTTGTGCCGCCGTTTTCTCGAAGCCACGGGGGACCCCGCGTGTCGTTCTATGGCACAGAGGAGCAGCGGTGAGTGCCAGGCCCTTGGGTAGTACTGCCCTGTGCCTCTGGCTCGGCAGGGGCAGGATGGTGCCAGCTGAGCCCCTGCTACTCGCAGGCAGCCCGTGGAGCCTGAGGAGCCCCCCGAAACCCCTGCGTGTGACCCGGGCAAGTTGCGGCTGTTTGAGGACGCTGTGGACTGGCAGCCCCGCACCGGCACCTCCCAGTCCCGCTCCTTCCGCAAACTGGCCCGGCTGACGGGCACAGATGGCTGTAAGTTCCTGTGGGGCCAAGTGTCGGGTCTGGCTGTGGTGGCCCCATGGTGGCCCTGCGTGTGCTGTGGGGCTGTTTGGGGGCAGCAGGGAGGGGGTGCCCGGTTCTGTTCCGTCATGCCACGTGGGGCCGTGGCTGCCGCCGACTGACTCTGTCTCCTCCTCTCTCCCCGCCGCACGCAGTGCAAGATGATGATGTGTTTGTTAGGAAGCCCAGGTAAGGGGTGGGCAGCGGGGCGCAGCACGAGGTGGGCTGCATGTCCCGGGCAGGGCGCTGGGCACTGCTGGCACTGAGCTGGGGAGGTCGAGCGGCACCACATCCTCTTGTGCTGCTGGGGCAAAGAGGAGAGTGGTGGCACTGGAAACCGTGCTGTGGGTGCTGGGAGGTGCTGGGCACTGTTTGGACGTCAGGCGTGAGGGCTTGTGAGGGTCAGGCCATGTCTGGAGGCAAGGAAGAGGCAGGCACTGGGGGAGGCCTGCTGGCAGCTCTTCTGCCTTTGTTCTTCACCTTCCCTCCTGCCTTGGTGTTTGAGTGCTGGGTCCAGATCTGCCTGGTTTGCTCTGTAGCAAATAAATTCTCCTGCTCTTATCGCCTGCTCCTTTTTCTGTTTGCCCTGGAGAGGCGCAGAGCTGCCGGCTTTCTGTCACTGTCCTTGCTCCTCTGGACCTCGCTTGTCCTGGCTTCTCCCAAGCCCGGTGCTGGCAGCATGCCCTGGGGGTCACAGGCACTGCCACCCTGCACCAGCCTGGCCCTGCCTTTCCCTGCCTCTGCTGGAGCTGACCCGGGGCTCCCCCCACCAGGCTGGCTGTAGGGTGCTGTGTGAGGCTGGGGGTACCTGCCCACTGTCACCTTTGAGCGTGCTGCAGTGGTGTGTGCGATCCTACAGGTCCCTGCCACCCTGCAGCACCCCATAACCGGGGCACGGCGCCCCGGCAGCTCGATGCTCCCACCCCGCTGGGTGCCACAGACCTGGGGGTGCTGCGTCCCCCAGCACCAAACCCGCTACCGGCCGGGCACGGGGGCTCAGCCAGCTCCTGGCTGTGGGGTGGGGGTCCCTGCTTGCATGCACAGGCTGTGGGGGCGAGCGTGGCAGGCTGGATTAACTGCTGGTTCTGTAGCCAGGTCTCCGTGCTGGACCCGTCCCCAGGGAGCAGCGATGAAAACAGAGCCAGGACTGGGTGAGTGAAACCTTTCCTCTGGGGTCGGGGCAGGAGGGATGGGGGCAGAGGTAGGGCTGGTGCAGGGGGATTGGGGGAGCACCATCCAGGAGCCTTCCGTGTGTGTGCAGCCCCCAGGACCCCCGCTGCCACCCCTGGCCCTGCCAGCCGCCCACCCTGGGCTGTGGACCCGTCGTTCGCCGAGCGCTACGCCCCGGACAAGACGAGCACGGTGCTGAGCAAGCACAGCCAGCCGGCCACGCCGACCCCCATGCAGAACCGCAGCTCCATCGTGCAGGCGGCCCAGCAGGCGCCCGAAGGCCTGGGCCGCACGCCGCTCTGCTACAAGTGCAACAAGGTCATCAGGTGAGCCCTGGCCACCCGCCGCCACCCTGCCACCCTCCCGGGCACGTGCCGGGGCCCCGGTGGGGCTGACGTGGCTTCTGTCCCGCCTCAGGGGCCGCTACCTGGTGGCGCTGGGACATTACTACCACCCCGAGGAGTTCACCTGCTGCCAGTGCAGGAAGGTGCTGGATGAGGGGGGTTTCTTCGAGGAGAAGGGCTCCATCTTCTGCCCCAAGTGCTACGACACGCGCTACGCGCCCAGCTGCGCCAAGTGCAAGAAGAAGATCACCGGGGTGAGTGTCCCATGGCCTCCCCGTGCCTCCTATGTGTCCCCAGCTCTGTCCCTTCCCCTCCTGCTGGCTCTTTGTCCCCTGTCCCTTTCAGCCCTGGGTGGGGGTCCCCCAAAGTGCAGGGCTGACAGCGTCTCTCCTGCAGGAGGTGATGCACGCGCTGAAGATGACCTGGCACGTGCAGTGCTTCACCTGCGCAGCCTGCAAAACTCCCATCCGCAACCGTGCCTTCTACATGGAGGAGGGACAGCCCTACTGCGAGAGAGGTATAGGACCGGGGGGGGGGGACCTGGTGTCACCCCGGGGCACCGGCAGGGCTCAGCACCTCGTGGCAGGAGCCCTGGGTGAGCTGCCCTGCGCTGCGGGGCTCTCCCCGGGCCATGGGGACGGCTGGGTGTCCCCTGAGCCCTCTGTCCCCGTCCTCCCCGGCTGCTGGGTGGTGCCAGCGCTGGCGGGTTGCCGCGGCGATGACGGAGGATGTGGATCAAAGCGAGTGCTGCATCCTGGGAGCTGAGGTTCGCCTCCTCCCCGCAGCATGGTGGCGGTCAGGGACACCCTGCCCCGGGTGCCTGGCGCTTCGAGCGTTGTCCCTGTCCTGGGCTGGACGCGAGATGTCCCCAGGCTGTGCCCTGCTGCACGGGGACACGAGGGCTCGCAGGTTGGGGGAACGCTGACCCGGGCTCTGCCTCTGCTCACAGACTACGAGAAGATGTTTGGCACCAAGTGCCGCGGCTGTGACTTCAAGATCGATGCCGGGGACCGGTTCCTGGAGGCGCTGGGCTTCAGCTGGCACGACACTTGCTTCGTCTGCGCGGTGAGCCACGCGTCTGCCTCGTCCTTCTCTCCCCGGGTGCTGGCTGGAGGCTGGGGGGGGCTGTAACGGGGGCCCTGAGTCCACGAGTTTTTCCCCACCTCGCTCTGTGGTGGTGCCTCTGAGCCTGCTGCTCCTTGGCGCCTGCACGAGGCCGGTGCTGAGCGGGAGAGCAGCTGGGGCTGAGCGTGGGAGGGGACCCCAGGGACCCCGCTGACCGCCTGCGCTTTCCTCCCCCAGATCTGCCAGACCAACCTGGAAGGGAAGACGTTCTACTCCAAGAAGGACAAGCCGCTGTGCAAGAGCCACGCTTTCTCCCACGTGTGAGGCGCGGGAGGCCGGCTGTGCCCACGCATGCCCCTGGCCCTGCATGCTCCTCTCCCACCCCTTCCCCTGCCCCAGGGAGCCAGGCTGGGACCTCACCCCTTCCCCTCGCTCCTGCCTCTTTCCTGGCAGCTCCTGGCTGGGCTCCAGCAGAGGCAGGGCCGGCCTCAGAGCCCCTTCTTGCTGGGTGGCTTCTTCTGTGCCCCCCCGGCTGACCTAGGAGCCCGGGGAAGGGGATGCCACGTGGCTCTGCTGCCCCTGAGCTGCTCAGCGTGGGGGCTGGAGCCAGGGGTGGGTGCCTGGCTGCAGCGGGGCTGCTCCCTTGCCTGGATGAGGCCCACCTGCCCTGGCACCAGGGCAGAGACGCTCCTAGCGCATCCCTGAGCGGGCGAGGACCAGCCCCCAGCCCCTGCCGAGCTCTCCCCCCACCTTCCCCGCTTCGTGCTCAGCGTGTGGGGCTGGAGAAAACCGCCTCTTCTCCCCCTGCCTGCCACGACCCCACTGCCCACTGCCTTGCAGACCGCGGCGGCGCCTTCCCGTGGCTGCGGGCTGGGGGGGCTCTGTGCCTTATGTCCCTGCGCCCAGCTCCCCGCTGCTCCCCTGGTGGGGGGCTGGTGGGGGGCAGCACCCCCTGCCCGGCCGTGCCGGGGTGCAGGGCCCCGTGCCGGCCTCTGGCTCCCCGCAAGGCTCGGAAACAGCTTCCTACCAAAGAGCGTGTGCCGCCGCTGTCCCAGCACTGTAAAACGCCTCCCCCAAACCCACACTCTCCGGTTGGGCTGCCTCTGATGTAGCCACGGTGCTTTTAGTGCCTTTAATAAACACTTCTCTGCAAGTGCCCGCTGTCTCGGGGCCTGCGGTTGCGCCGAGCGAGGGGCGGCAGGGCCGGGAAGGTGGCGAGCAGCCTGGAGCCCTGCCCCGGGGCCTGACTCAGCTCGATGGAGCTCGCAGGGAAAAGCTTTGCCTCGGATTTCTCCTCCTCTATCCCTGGCTTTTAGCAGGCGGAGGCAGCAATGAATCCACGAGGCAAAGCTGGGGCTGGGCTGAGCGAGGGGATACAGGGTCGGACACCACAGCGGTGTCCCCGTGTCCCTGCTGCTGCGTCCCCGAGGCCGTGCAGGGGCCGAGGAGTCACTGGCAGGAGCGTGGTGGTGCTGGGCGTGCTTCGGCGCCACGCGGCCACGCGTTGAGTGCAGCTGCTGTCCCCAAGGACGGGCGCGAGGCAGCGCCGGCTGGAACAGGCTCGGGGGCAGTGGGTGTGGGGAGGAGCTGCTCCCACTGCTCCGCTCTGGCAGCCGGAGCGGTCATTAATAATTGCAGCTCTTAACGTGATGAGCAATCGTAAGGAAAAGTGTCTCGCTAATCTGCTGGAACCTTCTGCCGGGGGCAGGATCTGGCTGCGGGAACCGAACCCCACCCAGAGCCAGGCCGAGGTGCGGGGCCCCCGGTCCCTGGAGAGGTGCAAACCCCATCAGAGAGCGGCAGGGAGGAGGTGGAATAACTGGGGCTTACTGGGAGCTCGGAGCCGGGTCCTGTCCCAGGCTTGGGGGGGAACGTGGGTGGTGTGAAGCGAACGGGGACGGTGACACCGCTGAGCTGGGTGGGTGAGAAGGGGCAGGGCAGCCAGCCTGGCAGGGACCAAAAAAGCACGGATGTGGTGTGAACCCTGCGCGTGAATCCCGGCTGCGAAGCCAAGGTCAGGGGAAGTGGGGAGAAGGTGGCACAGCCACAGCGGGGACACAAAACCGAGCAGGCGGCAGGGAAGGGGCAGGCAGCCACGCGTGACGGGGCCCCAGGGTGGCACGTCCTGGGAACGGGTTGTGCCGGCCGAGCCGCGGGGCAAAACCTTGGAGCGGGGCGAGGGCAGCCCCAGCCTGCTCCGGGCTGATGGGGACGGGGTGGCAGAGGTCAGAGCGAAACCTCTCCGTGTGCTGGTGGCCTGCACCCTGCGGGGGCTCTGCTGCTTTCACCACTTGGTGCCCCATTGCCTCTGGTCCCTACTGATGGCCTCCAGGAGCCAAAGAGCCACCGTGCTGTGCCGAGAGCGGCTCCAAGCACCGTGCGAGGAGCTCAGGCAACGGAAGGAGGGTCTCGGAAGGAGGGTCTCGGAAGGAGGGTCTCGGGTGGGCTGCGGAGGTGGAGCCTGGGGAGGGGCTGCAGCCGCGCTGCTCCGAGAACAAAGCCTCGCGGCGCTGGGCTCCGAGGGTCCCAGCGCGGGCTCCCAGCGCCACCACCCCCAAAGGCAGCTGGGCCGCTTGTGGGGCGCCTGCCGCAACCCCCGGCCCCCGCACCGGCACCGGCAGCTGCTCGACAGCTGCTCCCGAGCCCTCTTCGAGCCTCCAAGGGCGGCTCCGGCTTTGGCCTGGCTCGGAAATGCCGCTGCGAGGAGGGCGTGGGCAGGGGGCAGCCACCCCGTCCTCGTCCCGCTGCGCTCGGGGGGCTCGGAGCTGGGTGGCTCTCAAGGGCATGGTGCCCCGAGCTGCAGGGATTGCCCCCCCCTGGTTTTGTCACCCCGGGGTGGGTGTCCCTTTGACACGGCTGCTGGCCCCTTTTGTGCCTGGGGTGCGGGGACAGGGGCAGGGTGACCCCGGTGTCCCTGGTGTGGGGCTGCCCACCTGGCTGGGAGCAGATGGAGCTGGTGTTGGGCACCCTCTGGCCCCACAGGGCCCTGCTTAGGGTCTGCTGGGGGCAGCTCTGGGGGGTCCGCACAAGGGGCAAAACCCGGTGGAGACGGGGGTGCGGGGGGCTGGGGCGGTTTGGGGTCAGAGCCACACATTTGGGACGGGCAGGGACGGAGGCTGGCACCAAAGGGGACCCCACAAAGGTTGAGGGCACAGCTTGGGGGGGGGGCTCGGAGGGCAAAACGGGGGGGCGTGGGGGGTCTGGGATGGAGGGGCGCTGGTGGCAGGGGGGGTCCCGTCGGGGCGCAGGCATCCCGGGGATGAGGGGTCCCCGGTTGGAGCAGCACCCGGGGGGGGGGGGACACAGGGGGTGCCCCCGGGGGACCGGGGGGGAAGAGGAGGATGAGGACACGGAACGGGAAGGGGGGGGAGGAGGGCGCGCCCCGGGGGCGCGGCGGGGGCCGGGGCGGGGGCGGGAGAAGGGGAGGGGGGGGTGGGGGGGGGCATGGATTGAGGAGGGGGGGGGGTTGAGGGGGGGGGGGTTGGGGGCCGCCGTTCGCGGCGCTAGGACCGGGCGCGGCGGCGGGCGGAGCCTCCCCGCCGCTCGCCCCTCCGCCCGGCCGCTGCGGCAGTGTCTCGGAGGCGGGCAGGCGGCCGGTCCCTCCGGTCCCCCGGCAGCATCCCGGCCCCGCCATGGCTGGCGTCGGCTTCGCGGCGCACCGCCTGGAGCTGCTCGCCTCCTACCAGGACGTGATCGGCGAGGACAGCCCCACCGACTGGTGAGCGCGCCCCCGCCGCCGCTTCTGCCGCCGCCGCCGCCTCCCCTTTGTGTGTGTGTCCCCGTCCCCCCCCCCCCCCACCACCTCTTTTCCCCATCGCCGCCGGGGCCCCCCTTTGTGCGCACGGAGCCGCCCGGTGGCACCGAGCGCGCGTCCTCGCCGCCACCGGGGCCGCGCCCCCGCCGCCCCCCGCCACCTGCAGCCACCGGGAGGGGACCGGGAGGGGACCGGGAGGGGCCGGCAGCCCCGGCACACAAAGGCGGGCGGGGCCGGCGGGGCGGTGGAGGGGGTGTGCCCGGCCCCGCCGCCCCCCCCCCCCCCCCCGGTGCCCGCACCTGCCCGGTGCCCGCAGCGCCCCGCACCGCGCCGGGCGCGGCCCCGCTTTGTCTGCGCCCCGCCGGCACGTGGGGGCACCGACGGGCCCCCCCCACCCCCTTCCCGGTCCGTTTCACCCCCCCCTTCCATCTCCCCGTCCTTCCTTTCCCCCCCGGTACCGTGCGTGGGGACAGGCCCGGGGGTCCCCCCGCTGCCGGGCCCGGTACCGGGATGCTGCGGATCCTCGCTATTGTCTGCGAGCCCGGTGCTGGGATGGGGTGGGGTGGGACGGGACGCCCCCCGCCCGGCCCTGGTGGAGCCAGGCCTGTGGTCGGGAGGGAGCTGGGGACCCCCCCGGTTCCCCCGGTCCCGCTCCCCGCAGCCCCCGGGGGGTGCCCGTGGGTGCCGGGTCCCCGGGAGGGCCGTGCTGGGTCACCCCGGGGCCGTGCTGCAGCGAGCTGGGGCTGGGGCTGGGGGCACCCTGGGGTGCTCGGCTGCACCCCAAATTCTCCAGGAAACCCCATGCCGCAGGCCTGGCAGCTCCAGGCCCCGCTGCAGCCCCCAGACCCACTGCAGCCCTGATCCCGGAGTCATCGGGGGGCATCTCCCACCGCAGCCCCGCTGCCCCCAGCCCCCAGCACTGGGCTGACCCCCGGGACCCCCTCGTTGTCCCCTCGGTGGGTGCTGCAGGCACCCAGGGGCTCAGCGGGGTGCTGTGCGCTGCTCCCCAGCTGGCTGCATCCTGGGATGGGGGGGGATAGGCACAGCCCCCTCCCCACCAGCCCCGGGGTCCCAGTGGCCCCGCTGGTGGCCGCTTGCGGTGCGTGGCACCAGCCAGGAGGCAGCTGTCAGCCCCGGGTGCATCCCGCTGCCCGGCATCACCGCAAAGGATCCCTCCCTGCCAAAGCTGCTGAGAGCAGCAGAAACGGCTCCCGGGAAAGGCGAGCGGAGGAGCCCGTCCCCCCCCCCTTCTATCACCGAGCCCCCACGGCCTCCGTCCTGGAGGCTGAGCTTCGCCCCGTCCTTCCCCAGCCCGCGGTCACCCGCGGCGCACGGTGCCAGCAGCATCCCCACCGCAGGGCCCGGTGCCGGTGCCCACCCTGGGTGTGGGGTGGGGAGCGGTGCTGGGGGGGGGGACACACACATCTGGGGACCCTGGGGACCGTTCCCCGACGGTGGCACCGGGCAGGGTGAGCCGGGGCTGCGAGGACACTGCACCCGAGCGCGCGGTGCGGCGGCGGCAGCGCTGGCTCTGGGGAACGCCGGGATCCCCGTGGCCTCGGGATGTTTAGTCTGGGATTTCCTCTCCCCCCCCCTCCCACCCCCAAGCCTGCCCCCGAGCCCAGTCCTGGAGGGTCCGAGCCTCCCCTCCCCCTGCCCGGCCTCGCGGAGGCTGCTGGGGCCCATTACTCGATAGGAAAGGAATTTGGTGCTGCTTTCTGAGCACGCCGACTCCCTGGAGCTCGCAGCCACATTGGAAACACATGTGCCCGGGCTGGGGCAGGCGGGATGGGGAGCCCCCCCCCCCAAACCCCCCCAGGACACGGCACGGGGGGCAGGCAGCCGCAGGGACACCGGGTGCCGGCACCCATGGGTGCTGCACCGGCGAGCGATGGGGGCTGCGGGAGGGCAGCGGGCTCCTGTTCCCCCCCCTCTGGCAGTGATGGGGGTCCCCTGGCCACGATCACCCCCTCCCTGCCTGCCCCTTGCACCCAGGGGGGATCCCAGAGCCCAGGGAAGGGGCTGGGGAATCTGCGGGGACCTGGCGGGGGGATTGCAGCCCCTGGATGGGGTTGGGGATGCCCACTGCAGCCCAAACCATCCTTGTGGGGTTGGTCCCCGCTGCCTGGGTTCGTGGCGATGTTTTTGGGTTCCCAGAGCTGCTGCTGACCCCACAGGGCTGGGATCACTCAGATTGTCCATCCCAGAGCGGGGACAGGGCCTTTTTGGGGGTGATACCCTTGGTGGCAGGGCCCAGCTGCCCCATGAGCACCCTTGGGTGCTGGCAGCAGCACCCAGCTCGGGCATCACCCTGCGTGGGGGGGGGTCCTGGGGTTGGGGGGGGCGGGCACTGGGTGCCCCAGCACCCACACGGCTGCCCCGGCGGTGACACCTTGGCTGCGCCCTACTTGTGCCCTCCTTTTGCATCCCACTCCCGGAGCACCCAGCCCCTGCCTGCAACACCGAACCCCCCCGCAGGAATTGCAGCCCCCCCAAAACTGCATCTCCCACCCCAATCCCCGGGGAAGAAGCGGGGCCAGGGCCGTGTTTGTTGCCTTTCCCCGGCGCAGAGGCACTGCGGGACCGCGCCGCGCGGCCGCTCGGCTGCCCCCAGCCCGATTAGCGGGATTTGGCCGGGTGGATTAAAGGCAATCCTGTTGGTGCAATTATCTGTGGCTCTGCTGCGGGAGCGGGGCTGGGGGAGACCGGGGACAACGGGGCTGGGGGGGTGAGGAGGGAGGCCTGTTTTCCCTTCTTTTGTTAGGCATGGCCCTAAATTCCCTTCCTTTCTCAGCTGGAAGGGGCCAGGATGGAGTTGGGTGGCTCCGGTGCGGGGTTGGCTCTGCTCGTGGGGGGCTGCCTGCTCCCCATCCTGATCCCATCCCCATCCCCATCCCCATCCCCATCCCCATCCCATCCCCATCCCCATCCCCTCCCCTTCCTGGAAGCCTCCAGCCCCGATGAATTTGCCCTTTCCCAGCACCGCAGGGATTTTGGCACCGGGCGAGCACCGCCTGGGTGCCGCCATGCCGATCGGCACAGCCGCCCTCCTGCCTTCGTTGGGGGGGGGGAATGGATTTGGGATGGGGACCGAGGGGAAGGGGGTAGGGGGGTAGGGTCCAGCACGGGCTCCCCGGGAGCAGCGCGTGACGGTGGCGGGTTTGGGCGCCCGCCAGGCCCCCGCTGCCTGCCTGCCTCCCCCGCTCCCCTCCGCTAATCACCTCGTCATCGGGGCGAGCTGCATCCCAGCTGGGATGGGGAGGGGTTGCCGTGGCGACGGAGGATGCTGGTTGCATGGCAACCTCCATCCCTCGCCCACCCGCCCTGGACCCATCCCGCACGCGCCCTCCTTCCCCCCGTTCCCCACCCCATAGCCCGCTGCCTGCACCCAGGGGGGCTGCGAGGGCTGGCGGAGGGGCTGCGGAGCCCCGTGGGGGGGGCTCTGTGGGGCTCAGCGGGGGCACGAGGGGGTTTTCCCAGGCTCGGGGAACGGTTTCCAAGGAACGGTCTCCATGACGGCCCCATCACACCCCGGCGGCACATTGATTTGCTGCTGCTGCTGGAGCTCCGGCGTCCTCCCCCGGCCTGGAGCCTGGCGGGCCGGCGGCTCACGCAGCCGGGAACGTGAGCGGCCCCGAGTTCCCCGTCAGGGCGCGGGGCTGGCCCCAAAGCCGCCCGTCCCCATAGGGCTGGGGGTCGGGGAGGGGGTGTGCGGGGAGCTGGGGGTGCTGTGGGATGGGTGGCGGCACCCAGCTGGGCCCCGTGCCCCCTCTGTGCCCATCCTCGGGACCTCACCCCATGGATGTGAGGGTGGGGAAGGGGTCCTGCCCTAAATCCTGGGGGCAGGGGCAGTGCCCAGCCCCTGCTCTGCATCACCCCATGTGCCCCATGCCTATGGGGCAGCCGGGCCCTTCGTGGTGCTGATGGGCAATGGGGGCTTGGGGCACCCTGGGGACACCTCAGGGACTTTCCCCGGGACCTGTCCCTGCCCCGCTCTCAGCGTCACCAGCACGAGGAGGGGGAGGCGAGGAGCCTGCCCCCCGCTCCCCATGGCTCTGTGGGGCCATTTCTCACCCCTCTGCCTCCCCAGGGCCCTCTACACGTACGAGGATGGCTCCGATGACCTGAAGCTGGCAGCGTCGGGAGGTAAGGTCCTCGTCCTTGTCCCCCTGCGCCCGGCTCCGCTCCCCCCAGCGCCCATCCTGGCCGGGGGTCCCGGTGCCGGGTGGATGTGAGCTGAGGGTGCCGTGTGCCCTGCCAGGAGGGGGGCTGCTGGAGCTCTCCGGCCACTTTGAGATCCAGAAGGTGATGTACGGCTTCTGCAGCGTCAAAGACCCCCAGGCCGTGCTCCCCAAATATGTCCTCGTCAACTGGGTGAGTAGGGGGAGCGCGCGGGCACCCCCTCACCGGGGGGTCCTATAACAGCACAGGTGATACAGGGGAAGGGGTGCGGGTGCCCCGTGAATGTCAGCGGGGTGGGGGGCACGTGGGATCCCCCCCCTCGGCTCTGTGCCCCCGTCTCAGCTCCCCTCTGGCCACCCCAGGTGGGCGAGGACGTGCCCGACGCCCGCAAGTGCGCCTGTGCCAGCCACGTGGCCAAGATCGCCGAGTTCTTCCAGGTGGGTGACAACGGGGACGGGGACGGTGGTGACACCTCGCGCCGGGGAGCCCAGGGTGACGGCCGGGGGGTGTTTCTGACGGGTCTCGCCCCCAGGGTGTGGACGTGATCGTCAACGCCAGCAGCGTGGAGGACATCGACCCGGGGGCCATCGGGCAGCGGCTCTCCAACGGGCTGGCCCGCGTCTCCAGCCCCGTGCTGCACCGCCTGCGGCTGCGGGAGGACGAGAACGCCGAGCCCGTGGTAATGTCCCCTGGGTGGTGGCATCACCCCGCTGGCCAGGCCAGGCCCCCCCCGTGCCGCTTACTCGTATTCCCCTCGCTGGTCCCAGCCACCCCCCCTGACTCTGCTCCGTCCCAGGGCACGAGCTACCAGAAAACCGACGCCACCGTGGAGATGAAGCGGCTCAACCGGGAGCAGTTCTGGGAACAGGCCAAGGTCAGGGCAATGGTTTTGGGTGCTGGGTACGGGATGTCCCCCGGGCCAGGCTGACGGCCCCATCCCGACCCCGTCCCCGCAGAAAGAGGAGGAATTGCGCAAGGAAGAGGAGCGGAAAAAGGCGCTGGACGCGCGGCTGCGGTTCGAGCAGGAGCGCATGGAGCAGGAGAGGCTGGAGCAGGAGGAGCGGGAGCGGCGCTACCGGGAGCGCGAGGAGCAGATCGAGGAGCACAGGCATGGAGGGGGGGATTTGGGATGGATTTGGGGTGGCCGTGTGGGCGTTGGGCCCTGACGGGGACGGGGACGGGTGGCGGTGGCAGCGCTCAGCCCCATTCCTGTGCCTCCTGGCAGGAGGAAGCAGCAGAGCATGGAGGCGGAGGAGGCCCGGCAGCGCCTGAAGGAGCAGTCCATCTTCGTGAGTGCCTCTGTGGGGACGGGGATGGGGGCTCTGGGGGTGGCGGTGCCGGAGGTGGCGGTGACGGGGGCGTTTCGTCGCAGGGGGAGCAGCAAGAGGAGGACGACAGGCAGCAGCTGCGGAAATCGGAGTCGGAGGTGGAGGTGAGCGCAGCAGCGCCCTGCCCGGCGCCCGGCTCCGCTCCCCAAGCTGGATGGGACCTGGAGCGGGTCAAATCTGCCCGGCCGGGGGTGCCCCCCACGGGACGCGGGTCCCAGCCTGCCCCCTCCCCGCAGGAGGCCGCTGCCATCATCGCCCAGCGACCCGACAACCCCCGGGACTTCTTCAAGCAGCAGGAGCGGGTGGCATCGGGCAGCAGCGACGCCATCTCACCGGGCAGCCACAGGACAGGTGAGGGGCTGGGGGGGGGACACGGGGGGGGTCACCATGGAGCAGGTGAGTGCGGTGCCACCGGGGTGCCCGCAGCTCGCCGTGTCGCAGAGGGATGGGGGGTCCCCTCTGCTGTCCCTTTGGCTGTGGGTTTGGGTTCTGGGGGTATCGCTGCGCTCATCCTGCTCAGCACCGCCACGGCTCCTCAGGTGGCCTCGCGTCTTCTTGCGCCTCCAGGGGGGTGCTGCAACAAGGGGGGGGCTCATCCCTCATCCCGCTCGCTGCTGGGTGCCCTCTGCCCACCCGTCTGCTGGCACAGGGGGTGGCGGCGTGGGCCGGCTGTGGGGACAGCTTGGGGACCAGGAGGTGGCTTGGGAAGGAAGCTCTGAGAGCTACAAAGGGCAGTGGTGGGGCTGGGGCAGGGGGGCAGCAATGGGGCGCCTGGTGTGCCCCCGGCTGGGTGTGTGTGGGGCACCCCATGTGCCCTGTGGTGCTGTGCCCGCCCCAGGGTCCCCGGTGCCAGGATGAGTGCGTACAACGGGGCAGGGCGCCTCTTTTTGGGGTCTGGGTGCTGCCAGCTGGCCCTGGCCGTGGGGCTGGCCCCACCGAGGGCTCGCCGTGGGGTGGGGGTGGCTGGCAGGGGGTGCCCCATGGGGTCAGGGCTGCCCCGCGGTGTGGGGTGCAGCCCTGGGGCTCCGCTTGTGGCTTTAGGGCAGGGGCTGGCTGTTCTTGGGGTGGGTGCCGCCGGCTGTGGGGCCACGCTGTGGGGCTGTGCTGTGGGTCGGGCTGTGCCGTGGGGCTGTGCTGTGGGGCTGTGCCGTGGGGCTGTGCTGTGTGTTCTTGCCATGGGGCCGTGCCTTGGAGCCATGTGCGCACTGTGGGGTCGTGCTGTGGGGTCCTGCTGTGGGCTGTGCTGTGGGGCCGTGCGGGGCCTGAGCGAACAGAAGGTCCCCGTGTCCTGTGGCTGTGTCCTGGCCTCTCTCCCCACCCTGGCCACTTGGTGCTGCCTCCTGTCCTGCCGTCCTGCTGTCCTGCCATGTCCTGCCTGTCCTGCTGTCCTGCTGTCCCGCCGTCCTCCACCCCGCTGTCAGTGCTGCCTCCCCCCTCTCCATCCTTTCCATCCCGGTGCCCCGGTGCCCCGGCCCCGTGGAGCAGGGACTGACCCATCTCTCTGCTCTCTCTCTCTCCGTCCGTCTGTCTGTCTGTCTTTCTTTCTCTCGGCAGGTCGTCTGCACTGTCCTTTCATAAAGACAGCTGACAGTGGGCCGCCTTCCTCCTCCTCCTCCTCCTCCTCCCCCCCGCGGACCCCTTTCCCCTATATCTCCTGCCACCGCACCCCAAATCTCTCCTCTTTCTTCCCATGTAGGTAGCTGGGAGCCCCCCGGGCACGCAGTCCCCCCCGGGGCCAGGGCCCCGCACCCCTCCCCAACCCCTCCACGCACCGGGCTTGGGGCACGAGGACGGAGCCGTGGGACCGACGGCCGAGCCAGCACCCACCCGCGGGCACCCCGAGGGGGCCGTGCGCCCTGTATGGCCGGGGCAGCCCCGTGGGACAGGCTGTGCCCGGGGGACAAACGGGGACAGGGCAGAGCCGTGCCCGGGGAGGTGATGCAGTGCCCGTGGGGCAGCGAGGGATGGACGAGGACCGTGCCTGTGGGGCCGAAGGGGCCACGTGGGGCTGTGCCCCCCGGCCATGGGGGCAGAGCGGGCACAGCGCGGTGCCTGCGGCGAGGAGAGGCTGCGCCGGGGCCGTGTGCGGGCAGGGCCAGCGTGTGCTGCGGCAGGGATGGGGGCTGCGGCTGTGTGGGGACACCCGGGGGGGCTCGGGGGGCTCGCAGCACCCATGGGTGCCTCCCCGCTGCTCCGCAGGAGGGCTGACGAGGCGGCGGCAGGTAGGTGGCGGCGTGCGTCGGACACCCGCTGGCCGGGCTGGCGTGGGGCAGGAGCGCGGGCGGCTTTGGGGCGCTGGGTCCCCCTCCCTATCCAGGTGCCCCCCACCCCAAGCCGTGTCTCCCTTGTCTGCAGGCAGCCAGTCGGACGCCTACCGAAAGGCTTCGGCAGCGGGCTGCAGCCCCTGCGAGTCCAGCACGGCCTCCACGCCGCTGGGCCAGCAGGGCGCCCGCGGCTCGGCCGAAGAGACGCCAGCAACGCCCAAAGGTGGGCGAGGGGCTGGCGGGCTGCCCCACGGCCCCACAGACCCCACAGACCCCACAGACCCCCACAGACCCCACAGACCCCACAGACCCCACAGAGCCGTGTGTGTGTGTGTGTGTCCCCGGTGCATCCCCTGCTGCCCCTGGGTCCCCTGCGGTTTGGCCGCGTCCCCGCCGTCTGCGCCGTGTCCCCCGTGCGTCCCCCGTGCGCCCGCTGCTCCCCGCCGCCGTCGCTGCTGCATCCATCACACGTCCCCCGTGCCCCCCTCCCAGCTCCGGTGCATCCCCCCGGTGCATCCCCATCCACCTCCATCCCCGCTTCATCCCCATCCCCTGCCTCCATCCCCGCTGTCCCCATCTCCATTTCGCCCCCCCCCCGTACACCCTGGCCATCCCCGCTGCACCCCTCCCACATCCCTGCTGTCCCTCTGCTGCATCCCTGCTGGCTCCTTCCCACCCCTGCTGCATCCCTGCTTCCCCTTCTGCATCTCTTTCCCTCCCCATCCCCTCCCTGTACCTCCCAGCCACCCCCCCTCGCCCCCACCAGGGACCACCCGTCCCCTCTGCACCCCCAGGTGACCATCTCACCCCACACCAAGTCCTATAAATCCTCTAAGACGCATGCCACCAACCCCCTCTCTGCCCAGCCAGCTCCTCACCACCCCCCACCCCAAATACCCCATCCCTGTCCCCAGGTGCCCCCACCCCACTTAGGGACACTTCTTCCCCCTCTGACCCCTGTCCCCCCCGTCCCCTTGCAGACTCCCCCAGCCCCAGCAGCGCCCAGGTGGCCGAGCCAGCGGTGGCCGAGCAGCACTGGCCCTTCCCGGGCCCCGAGGACAAAACCGCGGAGCCCCCGGGGGACCAACCCGACCCCCCCCGGCCGGCGTGGGCAACCCCTGACTCCCTGGGGGACCTGGTGACCCTGGAGCCCACCGACCCGTCCCCGCTGCCCGCGGCGGCCGAGCCCCAGCCCGCGGTGGCACCGGGCAGCACCGAGCCCCTCATCGAGCTGTGGCAAAGCGACGGCCCCGCCACCGCCTGGCCCCTGCCCGTCGCCCCCACGCCTGCCCCCGAGGGGCCCCCCCCGGCCGCCCCCGACGAGGGGCCGCTGCTGAGCCTGGACGAGCTGCCCGAGCCCCCCGCCACCTTCTGCGACGCGGAGAGGGAGGAGGTGGTGGAGGAAGAAGAGGAGGAGGAGGAGGAGGAAGAAGAAGAGGCCATTGCGGGGGGGCCCCACCCGGCGGGGCTCGGCTACCAGGACGCCGGGCCGGGCCACGAGCCCCCCCTCATCACCAACGGGGAGATGGCCCCCAAGGACGGCACGCCGGGCCGCGGCGAGCAGGTGAGCACCGTCACGGGGGGCTTGGCACCGTGTCTGTGTTTTTTTGGGGGGGGTCCTGACCCGTGGGGGCACTGTTTATCCCCAATAACCACCCCCCCCCCCCAAAAGGCCAGCGAGGGCTACTTCAGCCAGTCCCAGGAGGAGGAGGCGCCGCAGCCCGAGGAGCCGTCGGCCAAAGCCCCCCAGCCCGTCTTCTACAACAAGCCCCCAGGTGAGCGGGGACGAGGCGAGTTATGGGGTGGGGGGGGGGGGTGTACGGCCCCATTGTGGGGGTCCCTGACCCCCCTCCCCGTCCCCGCAGAGATCGACATCACGTGCTGGGACGCAGGACCCGCTGCCCGAGGAGGAGGAGAGCTTTGGGGGCGGCGTGTAAGGCTGGGCCCCCCCCATCCCCCCGCTGCCGGCGCACGCAGCCGGGCCCCCCAAGATTTGGGGCGCGAGCGGCCGCGGCCAGGGGCCGGCCCCGGCCCCCTCCCCGCTGGGGTCCCGCAGGATGAGGCCTCCGGGTGGGAGCCGGGGGGGCCGCCCCGCAGCGCCCCCAGCCCCGGGGCACCTTTTACAGCTCCCCCCTCCCCCCTTTCTCTTTCTCTCTCTTTTTTAAGTTGTCGGTAGGAGACATGTCAGCCCCCCCATGACCCCCCCCGATAGTTGCCCCCCCCCCCTCTCCGACCCGTCCCGGCTCCCTGTACTGGGGGGGGGGGGGAATGGGGTACGCGTGCAGCCCCCCCATGTCCCATGTCCGGCTGTGGGATAGGGGCCTCTCTTCTCTTCTCGCCCTCCTCCCCCCCTCCCCAAACCCCCCAGTACTTTGCACGAGTTCGACAAAAAAAAAAATAATGAAAAAACAGAAAAAAAAAAAATCAGCGGAATAATAATAATAATAATAATAAATGAATATGGCAATAAAGTGACCCTACCGAGGCGAGGCTGTGGCCCCAAAACCCTGCTGGGGACATGGGGAGCCGGCGTGGGGCTTCCCCCCCTCCCCTCTCCTTGCCAGGAGCCCCCTCCCCCCCCCCCCCAGGGCGCAGGGTTTGCCCGCCGGAGCCCCCTCCCCATTTCCCTCCCCGCTTCGCCCCTCGCTTGGCCCCTTTCTCCCCCTTCGGTAACTGTTTTTGGAAAGCACAAGTTCTGTAACGGCGGCGTGCTGATGTATGTTAATAAATAAAAGCGACTCCCACGGGGGCTGCCGCCTGCTGGGGGGGGGGGGACGGACAGGGATGGGGACACGGGACCCCCCTGCCACCCCCCGGGGGAGCCCCGCGACGCCAGCCAGCCTGGGGGGGGTGAGGCGAGCCGGATCCACAAACTTTTATTCTCAAACTGTAACAAACAAAATAAGAAACAGAGCAGAGTCCGAGCCCGGCTCCGGGCCCCCCCCCTTGGCCACGGGGGTGCCGGCAAGGGGACGGGTTGAGGGGTGTAGGGTGTGGGGGGGGGCGAGACGGGGAACCAGCCCCTTCCGCGCTGGCGGCGATGGCCCGCGACACGGGGACGGCGTCCCCGGGGGGCAAAGCGGGTGGCCGAACCCCCCCCCCCGGCATCAAGGGGGGGACACCCGCGGGCGGCTGCGGCTCCCCCGGGGCCACCCCTAGACGGCCGTAGTCCTGCCGAAGAGGGGCATGGAGACCGGGAGGTGCCAGGGCCCCGGCTCGTAGGTGTCCCTGCTGCTGAGCTCCGAGTCCGTCCAGCTGGGGAACATGCGCGGGGAGCACTCTGCCTGCAGGTAAAGGTCCGGGCAGGCCGGCCCGGGGCTGGCCGAGCGGGGCAGGTGCAGCGCCGAACCGTAACCGGCGTCGAGGAAAAGGGGTTTGTAGCTGGGGGGCTGCTCCTGCTTCTCCAGCCGCTCGTGGCTCAGGAAGGGCGCGTTGATCTTGCGGTAGAGCCCGCGCGTGTCCATCAGCACCTCGCTGTACGGCGGGGGGGGCTCCGCCATCAGCAGCGCCTCTTCGTAGCACGGCGGCTTCGACAGGTCCGACTCTGCCGGGCAAAGCCCCCCCCCCCCGGCGTCAGCGCCGACCCCCGGCCACCACCGGGCTCCCCGGCGAGGTGGGCGCGGACCCCGCGGCGGTGCCCCGATGGTGGTGGCGGTGGCGGCGGCGGCGGCTGCGCCCCGCTGCTGCTGCTCCTTACCGTGCCGGCAGCTCCAGGGCCGCGGGGGAGGGATGTGGGGGTGGTGGTGGTGGTGGTGGTGGGGCTCCATGCGGAGCCGGTGGGGGACGGCGATGCCGGGGGGGCTGCCCCCGTAGCCCTCGTAGTGCAGCGGCTCCAGCTCCAGGGCGCGCAGGCTCTGCTCCCGCAGCCGCTCCTCCTGCTGCCGCTTCACCCGGCGCCGCAGGTAGCTGCAGAAGCAGCACAGCAGCACGATGAGCCCCCAGATGAGCCAGAAGCCCGCGAAGCAGGTGAGGAAGGTGTAGGTGCCCTGGGACATCACCATCTTCGCCGCCGCCGGCTGGCGGGGGGGGAGGCCCCCCCGCTCCTCCCTGCCCTCGGGGGTCGGGGTCGGGACGCTCAGGGCGGCGGCAGGGCCGATGCTCTCAGGGCGGCCGAGGGGCTCCCCATGCCGTGCCCGGCGTCTCCTCCTCCTGGCCCGTGGGCGCCCGCCGTCAGGGCTCCGTCCTCGCCATGGAGCCGGGGGGCTGCAGCGGGTGGCTCAGGCCTGGCTGAGCGGGGCGGGGGCGGGCGGCGGGGGCACGGGTACGGCGCGGTCCCGGCCCAGCCGCTGCCCATCGCTGGGAGGGGGCCGCCGGGGAACGGGGCTGGGATGGGGGGGGGGCCCTGCAACGAGACAGACGCGAGCGTGAGCGTGGCGGGGACGCGGATGCCCCGTTCCCATGGAGACTCGCTCCACATGCGCAGCGGCACCCGGAGCCGTGCCCGGCCCCACGCACGCCCCCGCCGGCACCCCCACGGCTGCGGATCCCCCCCCCCCGCACCCCCATCCTAGCATCCACCCCAAAGCTGCCGGGCACCCCGGAGCGGGAGGTGGATGCCGCAGCCCCGCAGCATCGACGCCTTCGAGGCCGCGTGGTGCCCTCCAGCCTCCTCCCACCCCAAAAATGCGCTGCGGTGCCTGGGTGGCTCCATCCCGGCTGCCCCATAGCGGGGGGGCCATGGGGTGCCCCTGGTGGGAGGAGAGAGTGGCCGAGGCGTGGGGCACGTGGCACATCGGAGCACGTGCACGGCGGGCATCGGCGACCTCGTGGCTGTAGGGAGCGCATGGCAGCTCGGGGACATTTGGGAGGGGTTTGGTGGCGGTGGGATCGTCACCCCCGCGCGGTGCTTGGGTTTGGGCAGGGTGACAGCTCGGTCACCTTCAGCCGAGCACCGTGCCAAGGATGGGGGGGGGGGGCTGTGCGCATCAGCCAGCGGGGAGCAGCACCCATGGGTGCTTGCAGGCTGGCACGTAAGCACCCGTCAGGATTATTCTTATCGTGGGGTGGGAGAAAACGCCATCGCCGCCGGGGAGCGGGGAGGATTGCGAGCAGCAGCCAAGGGCAGGGCGACCACCGTGGCTCTGCTCCCGCCTGCCTCGGCTGGGCGAAGGGCCGCGGGGTCCCCGCGTGGCACGGGGCTGGAGCACGGTGCCCGGGGAGGGGACCACGGCGGGGACGCCGCGTGTCGGGGAGGCCGGAGGGGAAGCGGGCAGGGCAGCGGGGCCGTGCCGAGCCGGAAGGAAGGAGGGCAGGGGAAGGAAGGGGCTGGGGAGCCACGCTCCGGCGTCCCCCCTCCGTGCGGCGGGGGCTGCTCCGGCGTGCAAAGGCGGGGGCGGAGGCGGCGTTTTTTTGGGGAGCGGGGCCCGTTGCTGGGGCTCCCCAAGCTGCTGGCCAAGGCCAGCACGGTGCGGGCAGAGCTCGCTGGCCACGGCTACAACAGGGTCCCCGCTGCCAGCACAGATGGGGGCACCGTGCGGGTGGTGGCGGTGGCTCAGGAGCCGGTGACACGGCCAGGCTGGGGACACCGAGGGCTGGTGGCACTTGGGGACCGGGGGCGTTTGCAGCCAGGGATAGCGCTGGAGGGGGGACATCGGGGCTGGGGGTGTCGGGGGCGTTTGGGGAGCGGGGGCGCGTGGGTTGGAGGTGCCGGGGGACACCCACGCGGTCCCGGCCGGGGGGTGGCAGGCACCGAGCCGAGCCCCCCCATTCCCCCCTTCCCTCTCTCCATCCCCCCCCCCCCCGGTTCCCGCGGCCTGTGCCCCGGTGCCGGGATGGGGACACCCGGCGGGGACCTCCCCGCTCCCGGTGCCGGGCGCGGCAGCGGCCCCCCCCCCTTCCTCCTCCTCCTCCTCCTCCTCCTCTTCCTCCCCCCTCCACGGAGAGCGCGCGCGCGCCTCCGCCGCGGCGGGGAAGGGGGGGGGGGGGGGGCGCGCGCGCGCGCCCCGGGAACGCGCGGTGCGCGCGCCTCCGCCTCCGCCCCGGCGGCCCCCGGTTCCCGGTGGCCACGGCCCCGCGCGCCCCCGCCCCGGCCCCGCTCCCCTCCCCTCCCCTCCGCGCAACAGGCGGGGGCGCCGCGCCCGTTCCCCCCCCCCGCGGCTCCCGTTACCGGCGGCGGCGGCGGCGCACGTGGCTCAAGCAGCGGGCGGCGGCGGCGGCTCCATAGGGCGGCGGCGGTGGGGAGGGGGGGACGGGGAAAAAGAGGAGGGGGGGGAGCCCGGTGCGCGCCCGGTGCGCGGCGCCGCCGCCGCCTCCCGGCGCTGCCTTTGTCTCCGGTGAGTGCTCCCGCGCCGCCGCCGCCGCCGCCGCCGCGCACCGCCCCGCCCGGGCTCCCGCCCCGCCGCTGCGCCCCGCCCTCGGTTCGGGGAGGGACCCGGGAGGCCCGGAGCCGGTGGGGGCCCCCCCTCGGAGCCCCCGCACCGGGACCCGTGGATAGCGGCGGGGATTGAGGCGTGGGGGAGGTTGGAGAGGTGGGGGGGGGCGCACGGGCACGGCCCCGGGATCCCGGTGGCGTGGTGGCCGCGGCATCCCCCGAGCCGGGGGGGGGAGCCTCCGGGATGGGGGGGGCTGGGGATCCCCCCCGGTGACCCGCACGGTCCTTGGGGGGGTGATGGCACCTCCCGGTGGTCACCCAGCCCCTGGGGTGGCAGGGGGTGACAGCTGGAGATGGCTCCAGGGTGATGGCCACGCAGGGACAGTGGCAGTGCGGGGGCACCAGCCCCGGCCCCCCCACCCGATGATGGGGCGCATGGTGGTGCCATGCAGGACATGTGCCCATGCCGGGCAAAGGGTGCCAGCGTGGCCCTGAAGGTCAGGGGTGGCACCCTGGGGGTCCCTGCGCTGCCCCGTCCCCCTCGTTGCCCCCCATTGACCCAACCCAAGCGCTCATCCCCCTGCACTGGGGCTCCCCCCTGGCCCTGTGCCACCGGGCAGATGTCACCAGATGTTCCCTGCGGTGTCCAAGCTGCTGTCACGGCCACACCGGGGGCGAGGGCTGTGCCATCCGTGCGCCCGGCTGCTGCCCCGGCACCGTGTGGCTCAAACGGGAGCAGCAGCAGCGTGGGCACCGGGCAGGAGCCGTGCCAGCCCCGGGGCCACCGTGCCCTCTGAGTGCCCAGAGCCCGAGCACGAGGCGGTGACACGGCGGTGACACCCTGTGGGGGTGCCGGCACAGGCTGTGACCCCGCCACCGCTTCCTCCCCGTGGGCAGGGCGGCGGGCGCCCGGCCGAAGGAATTCCTCCTGGCAGCACAGCCCCATGCCACCATCCCCGTGCCCGGCTGGGCAGAGCGGATCCGTGGCACGTCCCAGCCTCGGCACCGTGCCGGCCTCGTCCCTCCGGCCCCTTTCGCTCCGTCCCCGACTCACCTCGCTGGGCCTCGTGTCCTGCGGTGTGCTCTCAGAGCGCGGCAGCGCGGCCAGGCCGGCTCGGCGGCGCTTGCGGGGTTGCCCGAGCGGCTGGCGGGGTGGGCAGGGGGCTGCGGCCATGCAGGGGGGCCGCGGAGCTCCCCGTGGGCACGAGCGAGGGGTTGGCGGGGGCAATGGGCAGCATCGTCAGGCCGAGGGGAGCGGGTGGGCAGCGGGCACCCCGCGGGCGGTGGGAGCCCGGCCTCCGGCCCCACCAGCGCCAGGGGCCGGGAGCTGCCTTCCCCACGGTGGTGGCGGGGGGAGGCAGGCGGGGGAGCGCTCCCCGAGCCACATGGTGGGCCGGAGGAGGAGCTGTTGCCCAGGCAACAGCTGAGAGCATCCTTCACCCCTGAAAATCGTGTGTGCGGCGCTGCCTCCACAGCCCCACGGCTTGGGGCAGGGCCCGGGGTGCTCAGTGCCCCCCCAACACCCCTCCATGAGGCTCAGCCGTGGGCCCCGTGTGCCCTGGATGGGGTTGGGAACGTCCCCAGCCGGGCATTTTACCGTGGCCCTACAGCAGCACATAGGGCACACGCTGCTCCCCGCCCGCAGGGACACGGAGAGGGACGTGGGACCCCTGGTTTTTGGGGTTAGGGCACCGCTGGGTGAGGCAGAGCCCTTCCCGTGCCCTCCTGGGGCTTGGCCCTGTGCTCCCAGCCCCCAGCCCCACCTGAGGAGCCGTGGTGCCCATCCCCAGCATGGTGCTGGTGACACTGGGACCCCCGTGCTTGGTTGCTGCAGCCCAGGCAGTGCCCAAACGGCCCAGCCCTGACCGCTGCCATGGGCGCAAGCTCTCCCCATCGCTCCCCATCCCCCCGCAATGCCTTCCTTTCTTCCATGGCTGCAGAAAATTCCTGGATTTTACCCCAAGATGCCCCCTCCGAGTGTGAGAACTCCTCCTCGGCCCGCTCCCATGGCAACTGTTCCCTAGCTACCCGGCCGCACTTGCTATTCTCATCCCTGTGCAGCTGTGCGCGGCCACCCCGCGCTGCGCACCAGGCTGCCGACGGCCCCGCCACCGGCACCGGGCTCCCGGCCCACCCTGCACGGCCCCGACCCTCTCCCAGGCCAGGCTGCCGCCCTCGGTGTCCCCATTCCCGGTGGCTCTGCCGGCCCCAAGCCCCGTGCCAGGCCCTGGGTGTCCCCTTCCACACGTGGAGCCGTGGCGATGCCACCCGTGGGGACGGGGGCAGTGGCACAGCTCGGCCCCTGCGCACACCGGGGGCTGTGCCGTGCCAAGGGCAGGTGGGGGATTCTGCCCCAAAGGGGACCACAGCAGCCCCGTGGGACACCCCATGGCATGAAGCTGGGACCTGTCACACCCCTGAAGCATCCAAACCACCCTGGAGAAGCCACTGAGGGCCACCCGCAGCCCCTGGTGCTCAGCACCACCTCTGCACGCCGGGAGCACCAGCAGAGCCCACGGCCACTGGCAATGGGTACAAGGCCACGGGGCCTCCCCTCTCAGCCCTACAGCACCCCCCTGAAACCCTGCACTCCCTTCTGCCTCCCCCCACCCACCCCTCGCCGTGGCAGCAGCACGCGGCGCGGCAAATGACAGGCGTTAACGCAAAGGTTAAAAATTTAAATATTTCCAAACTTTAGTGCAAGGCAAGCGAATGATACCACAGGTCCAAGTAGGTGCTCAGCCCACCCGCGGGGCCTGGCTCAGAAGGAGCAGGGGGGCGGCAGCACGGACGTACACACAGACAGACAGACACACACAGAGCGGTTATTGCTGGGGACACGGCCGGACAAACATGCACGAGACGGGACAGGGGCAGGGGAGCCGTGCCGAGCCCCGTGTCGCTCCCCGGGGACACGCAGGACCCCTGTGGGGGCTCAGGTCCCACCAGCTATGCCCTTGGGCACGGCCACGTTGGCTCCCACAGGTTGGAGGATTCTAGGGGTGCTCCCTCTGCACCCCAAAAGCACGGCCCCGTGCGCTGCTGTCCCGAGGGACTGCCCGCAGCGAGCACGGAGCTGGTGGCACCGTGCTGGGGCCACCCCGCACCACGCAGGGGAGCGACCCTTGGGGCTCTACCTTCCCAGCGGGTGCTGCAGGGAGGCTGCCAGCGGGCCGGGGGGGCCAGGAGCAGCTCCTGGAGCTGGCAGCACGTTGAGGAAGGAGGCAGGAGGAGGCAGGCAGGGAAGCGGGGACGAGGCGGTGACGCTCTGCTGCCAGGAGGCAATGGGAGACGCTTGGGCACAGGAGGTCCCCGCGCCTCGGGGCTGAGCAATGGACTCCTCTGGAGCCAGGGACGCCTCAGCAGGGCCCAAGGGGTCCGGGATGAGATGCTTTCACACCTCAAGGCACGCAAAGCCTTTGCCCAGGACTCCCCGGTACGAAGCTGGGACCGTCGCTCCCCCCCATAGGAGGACATTTGTGCCTGTGACAGGGTGGGGGCAGCGCCGGCCCCCCCCCCCCAACCTATAGATTAAAAACTGACGTGTGCTATGTACAGACCCACGGCTATAAATACACACCAAACCCGCGGCGCCGCTCCGACACCACGGGATGTGGCAGCAGAGCTGCTCCAGCCCGGCCTCGGCCCACGCCGGCACGATCCCTCCCTCCTGCCCTCGGCCCCAGCGGTGGCACCGTCCCCAGCAGGATGCTCAGGGCACTCCACGTCTGTCCTGGGGACGTCAGCTCGCCCGTGGCCAGAGGTTCTGGGGCCTGGGGTGCTGCTGCCAGCGCTGGAGCTGTCCTCGGAGTCTTCAGCCAGCCTGGTGAAGCTGTAAACAAATCCACCTCGCGGGGCCACTGCTGCCTCGGCCTTCGGGCTGGCCTCTCGTCCTGCTGGGCGCCCGGAGAGGCCAAGGGGGTCCCAGGGGCTGGAGAACGTGCCCTACAGCCGGGTGGGCTCTTCCTCGCTGTCGCTGCAGTTCCCACAACAGTCCTGAAGGCAGAGGGGCAACGAGAGGGTGGAGAGGGAGAGAGGAGCACAGCAAGCACAGGGTGAGCACGGTCACACAACACAGCCCCTGGCTGCCCCCTGGCAGGGACGGGACGGGTCCCCCAGGCGTGGGAGAGCTACGTTGGAGGCGAGGGGCTGGAGGGGACCCCAAGGCTGCAGGGAAACAAAGCTGCACCTTGGGGCTCGGCTCCTAGCAGACGAATTGGTGAGCACACACGGCTGCCTAGCTCAGAAGCTGGGAGGAAGAGGGGCGCCGTGGCCTGCAGCCACCCGGGGAGACAGCTCAGTGCCAGCACGGTCTGCCCCAGGCAGGGCTCAGCAGGCCACGGAAAGCAGCTGAAGCCCTCGGGAGGGGGGCTGAGCACAGGACTACGCCAACCCCTTCACAGTTTCTCAACCCTTCTGTGTATCCCGGACACCCAAGGAGAGGAGCGGAGGCAACCCAGGGCTCCCTGCAGCCCCCCAGGAGCAGAGCTCCCGGCGGTACCGGGGCAGCTTTGGCTCAAGCCGAGGGCAAGGCTTCCCCCAGCAGGGAAGGCAGCGAGAGGAGGGAAGCGGGATTAGTGGCTCAGGGGGCAGTTAGGACAACAAGCAGCTTGTGCTCTGGTGGGGGGGACAGGGTTAGGCACTGAAGGACAACACTCCTCTTTCCCAGATCTTGCCATGTCCGTGGGCCACCGGGGTATTTCCCTGAGCAGAGCAGCCGGGAGGGACTGCTCACCTCTGGAAAGAGAAAACACGTGGCAAATCACAGCACAGCCCCTGCCACCGCTCAGCCCAGCCTCGCGCAGGTCCTGCCTGCCTGGGGACGAGCTGGGTCACACCGAACAGGGAAGCACAACCGGGAGCTCGGCGGGGAAGCGGGACTCAGCGCCGGGTGCCTGGGAGTGGGTCCAGGGCTGGCCAGAGCCAACCGTGCTCGAGAGCCCCAGCTGCAAGCAGCTGCCGAGGCAGCAGCCCAGCCTTTGCCAGTCCTGGAAAGAAGGCAAAGACTGTTCTGGCCCAGAGGAGGCACGCAGGCAAACAAGCCCGCAGCAGATGCGAAATGTTTCTGTTCTCCTCATCCCTAGAAAGCGCCGCTCCTCTCTGCCTGCCCAAGGTCTAGCAGAAAGGCTCTGGGGGAGCCTGGGAGCCCACACAGCCCATACCAAGATCAAGGGCTTCTTCGGGGATGGGATTATGCATGTAGGAAGGGAGAAGACTTGCTATTTTAGTGCCTTCGGCAGCATCTCTCCGCCTGTGTGACTGCAGCATGTTTAGCCAGGACACTCCAGCCCAGCCCCCTCCGCGTGCAGCAGCACCAGGAGAGCCTCCCTGCAGCCCCGCGGGGGTCCACCCGAGAGCCCCGGGGTCCGGCCACCCAGCACAGGGGTCCCCTCCCTGCCAAATCTGCCTGGCAAGGGTGGGAGAGGGCTCAGGGCTGCGGAGCGAGCGTTGGGTGAACGCTCTTCCTTACCTGTCTGCTGAAGAAGCGCTGGAGTAACCCTTTTTTGGGCTGGGGGGAGGGCTGCCCTTTCCAGTCCAGGTCTGGGGGCACCGAGCCATCTGTGCTAAAGACGTTCAGCTCCTTGAAGCACTCTGTCTCGATCATCTGGAAGAGGGCAGAGATGGCTGAAGGAATCACCACGCAGAGCCCCTCACTGAGGAACCGGCACAGGAGCAGCAGGGACAGCAGGAACCCTGCAGGACGCTGCCCTCAGCTACGGCGAGCACAAGCAGGGCCAAAGACCCATCCTGCAAAAAAAGGGGGCTGGTGCACGTGCCAGTCCCCACCTACCTCATTCTGCCAAGGAATGGGCACGCTCCCTGTAGCAAACTTCTGGTAGAAGTCATTGTCCGTGGGCTCCAGCTCCACGCCTTTCACCGTGGAGAACTGCTCGATGTCCAGAACGTCCTTGCAGTAGATGGCCTGGGGCTGAAGAGCACACACAGGGCTGTAACGCCCGGCCCCACAGCGATGCCACCCACTGAGACAGCCGTGGATGTTGGGAATCCACTCGTGGCTGTGGCCGGGGCAGCAGCTCCACGAAGAGAAAAGGAACCCAGCTCCTTGGGGAGCCCCCCGGGGGCTCCCCCTTCCCTCGACAGCACCAGCGAGGTCAGGACGTGGGCAGCACTTACGTCTGGTTTGAAGGGGGGGTCCAGCATGCCCGCTTCCAGCCTCCGAAAATTGAGGTGCTTGAAGAGAGGGTGCTCCTTCACTTCCCTGGCCCCAGCCCCTCGGCAGCCCAGGCGCTCCAAGGGGTCTTTGCACAGGAGCTGCAACACAAAGGGACATCGGTGACCCCATGGTGCTTCGGGCAGCAGCAGCCCTGCTGTTGGCTCGTGAGGAATTCAGACCCTCCAGACCCTCCTGCACTATCTTAGAGCCAGAGCAAGGGAACCCGACCTCTGGCAGTGCCTCCACAGCCCTGATTTTCTGCTGCTGCGTGCAACGGGGTGGGAGGTGTGAGGGGACGGCGATGCTCGTACCATGGTGCAGAGGGAGCGGGCGCAGGGCGAGAACTTCTCGGAGTACTCCTCCTGCACGTCCTTCACCAGGCGCTCCACCTCCTCCCGCTTGATCTTCTTCTTGCGCTGCTGGAAGGGCGACTGCCCCTCGATCATCTCGTACACCAGGCAGCCCAGAGCCCACCAGTCCGGGCTGAACGTGTAGCGCTCGTTCTTCACCACCTCTGGAGCTGCACGGGAGCAGGGGCGAGGGACGTGTGAGGGCAGGGAGGGTACGTGTGCAGTCGGAGGAGTTTTGGGTTAAACCAGGGGCACTTACCCATGTAGCCCACTGTCCCTACACGTCCTTTGATTGTTTGGCCCTCGGGCACGTGCACGGCCAGCCCCAGGTCTGAGATACGGATGTGACCTGCACAAACGGCACAAGTCAAGAGGACGGGGTCAAGGGGCAGTATTTGAGGCTGCCAAGAGCACAGAGCAACCCTGCTACAAGCACAGGAAGAGAGAAGGACCTAGGCCCGGGTTTCTCTTTGCCCTGCACTCACCATGGTCATCCAGCAAGATGTTCTCTGGCTTCAGGTCCCTAGGAAGGAAGAGACTTGATCAGCAAGAAGCCCACCATGAAAGCAAACACACAGGGAACAGCGACGTCTCAGCAAGTCACGGGTAAACAGCAGAGGGATGCAGTGCCCCTGCCTCAGGCCCCCCCTGCCCTGGAGCTGGCCCTGCTGCTCCCCCCTGCCAGGCAGAGGCAGGTCATGGCAACCTCGGATCCTCCAAAAGGAGGCAGCGAGCCTGTGGCTGCCTCCTCTGCATGCACAAAACTCACAGTGGGGCAAGCTGTGCAAGAGGGAGGGAGCAGAGGCTGCTTCTGCTTGCCCTGCCCAGGGCAAGGCTCAGGGTGGGACTAGAAGGGACTTTCTGGCTCCGGGTGCTGTCCTTAATGCAGCAGCACACAGCTGGTGAGAGCACTCAGCTTGTTTTCCCTCCTGCCCAGTGTCAGTTCTTCGGAGTTAAGCACCCAAGAGCTTAACCCAAGTGCCCTGAGGCACTCAGAATTCGAGTCCTGCTCTGGGTGATCCTTTACCAGCACAAGGAAGCAAAACTGATTCTTCCTGCATCTCCTGTGAGATCAGCTTTGTGTTCCTGATCCCCTCTCACCCAGCTCTGTGCTGCTTTCAATCCTGAGCTTATTTTCTTGAGCAGACAGTCCCGGCTGTCTGTGAGAGCAGCAGAAACCTTGCTGCTGCAGCCAGTACAAGGTCTCACCTGTACACTATCCTCTCCTGGTGCAAGTCCTCGAGGCCACAGCAGATCTCAGCAGCATAGAAAGCTGCCCGGGGCTCCTCGAAGCCAGCCTCGCCCATGTGGTAGATATGGAACTTGAGGTCCCCTCCATTCATGAGGGTCAGCACTAGGCAGAGAGCATCTTTAGTTTCATATGCATAGGCTAAGCTCACCTGCAATTCAGGGCAGAAAGGCTGTTAGAAGACACAGCTGGAAGAGGGAGGCCCCCCACTGACGGACACTTTGTCACCCAAGAAGCCAGGCATGGGCAGCAGGACGGGGCCTTCACAGAGGGGAGGAGGCAGCGGGGGAATTGTTGGAGCCCAGGGAGCATCTCTAAGTGCCCAGCAGCCCCTGAACGCCCTCAGCTTTCCTCAGACAGGGAGGATATTATCTCCCCGAGCCAGAACTGCTCCCGTCTGGGGGCAAGCAGCACCCAGCAGCACCCCTGGGGCAACATCTCATGAATTCCCTGTAACGGGAGGTTTCAGGCTGTCCACGCCTCTGTGCAGCCAGGGAGAGCTCCCCGTCACGTAGCTTAGGGACAGGCTTCTGCCCCTTCAGCTGCCTGGAAAGACAGTTTTCACTGCTTCCTTTTGCCCTAAAGGTAACAGGGTGCCCGTGAGACTGGATGGGACTTTGGGCCTGCCTTTGGAGGCATTCAGGTCATCTCATGGAGGTGGCAGGAGGTCCTGCCAAACCCCAGCCTTATGAGAGGTGTGCAGCCACCAGGACCCTGCTCCTGGGGATGAGCTGAAGAGCACAGAAGTGCCCGGCCGGCTGGTTGTGGAAGGAATCAGCCACCACAGCAAAGTGAGAGCAATTCCCATGTACTTACTACAAACCTACTGTTCACTTTTTCCAGGATCTGTTTCTCATTCAGGGCCATGGCCTCTCCCTTCCGCTTTTTGATCCGTTTCTTCTCCAGCTTCTTGCAGGCGTACATCTTCCCCGTGGCACGCACTTGGCAGGCACAAACCTGGAGGGGGGGACAAGGCTCAGCGCTCTCCCGCTGCTGTCTCTGTCGTGGGGTTTAGGTTCTGCTCTTGAGAGGCACAGGAAGGCAAAGAAGTCCTCGTTCCAGCCTCACCCCGAGGTCAGCACGGAGCGAGCTGCCACGGCGAGGACACGGGGAGCAGAGACATCTCGGGATGTCACAGATGAGCAGCAGAGAGGTACAGTGCCCCCGCCACCTGTAGCAGACACCACGGCTGGTGCCTGGGAGGACAGAAGGCCACTCCAGAAACAGAAGGAAAGCCTGACAGTGCCAGTTTTGGGGAGTGCAGTTTGCTGTGCCAAGACGCTGGGAGAAGACCTGGTTCCCTAGCCAGCAGCGTGCACGTGCTGCCTCTTCTGTGCAACCACCTCCTGCACCTCCCGTGGCTGGCAAGAGGGGAGCTCCTGTCCATCAGAGAGGAGCTGACGGATAACGCGGTGCCCAGAGCACAGCGGTACCTGGCACGGAGCCCAAGGGAACAGCCCTGCAAAATCCCACAGCCCACGGAGCCAGCAGCTCCTTGCCCCAGGTGCTGGAGCAGCTTGCAGCAGGCTGCCTGCCCGCCCCGAATGCGGAGGAAACACCGGTCACTCACCTCTCCAAAACCGCCCTTGCCTAGCACACGGTACTGGCGGAAAGTGTTTTTGGTCACTGGCTGCCTGCGAGGCAAAGGAAACCGGAGTGAGACGGGAGCAGGACGAGAGCAGGAGCTGAAGCCCAAACCACCCCCGTGCCCTGAATCTGGGGGTCACCCCGAAGCCCCTGCTCCAGCACACCTTGCTTCCCTGCAAGGCTGGGGCAGCCCGTGGAGGCTGTTTGTGCCAATTCGGGCCCTGAAGGAGAGGGCCCAGCAGGGAAAGGAGCTCTAGGGACCCCTCAGGCAGCCCGTGTGCTGCAGGCACAGGTCTCCCAGCGAAGCAACGTTACCGTTCCAGCCATTTCCACTGCAGGAAGCGGTTGAAGTACAAGCTGTCGAGGTAGTCAGCAAAGGGAGCCACACTCAGGTAGTCGTGGATAAGCCTAGGGGAGAGCAGAGCCAGCGAGGTGAGAGCTGCTCAGGGCTGTGACAGACGGCGGCGCAAGGAGAGGAGGTGAGGAGCCCCGAGAACCCGGTCGCTTTGCCAGCCCCTCACCCAGCCCAGGGCTGAATCGCCCTGCACAGCCCTGACCCAAAAGCCCACCAAGGTTTGGTGCAAAAAGAAGATGTGTTGGAGACACCACCGTGACAGAGGTGGTGCCCTGGGACTGTGCTGGCACTGGTAACTGTGGCCTTTCAGCACCGTGGGACTAAGGGGGGTGACAGGGCTCTGCAACCCCCCTGCTCACAGGGTGCACGCACACGGCTGTAATCAGCTGCCAAAACCTGCTAGCAACACCCAGCAGCGGGCGCCGAGCCGTTCAGTTTCAGCTGAATTTCCAGCACAAAAGGCCACCGGGGATCCCTCTCCGGAGAGCTAACTGCCTGCCGGGCCGCTGCCAGGGCTGCCCAGCAGAGCAAAAAAGCCTTACAGACACAGTGTCTAGACTGGAGCCGTGCATCAAGGCGAAGCGGATGGGCTCTTCCCCTTTCAGAGCTTGCCAAGAGAAGGCAGGGCCCAGCCCGCAGGCTCTGCATTCAGACGGTGACAGCAGTTACCACACACGGAGCCCTGGGTTAGGCAACGCGCTCCTGCCGCTGCTCGGGGAGGGGTTGGGGGCCCACAGCCCCGTTTCCCCAGCAGCTTCCTCTTCGCGCCCGGAGCCAGGACCTCGGTCACCGACTCTGTGATGAGTCGAGGGAACAGAAGTGACCTTAGGTCCCTAGAGCGACGATGGCAGCTCAGCCCCACGGCGAACCGAGCGCAGTGACAGAGGTTCCCGCAGCAGTTTGTGGCTCTCCGAGCCCACAGGAGCTCCTCGTGTTTGTTTTCCTGGAGCTGTGCTGCAAACCACCAGCCCTGAGCTCTGCCCACGCAGTCCCAGCCCTAACACCAGCCCTCGGGGGGCCTGGAGGAAGGGAGCGGGGTGGACGAGGTGGTCGGCGGTGCGAGCCCGGCCCCACAACGTACTTGGTGGATTCCTTGAAGAGCTCCTTGGAGGGTTCCTGCTCCAGCCGCTCACAGCAGGCATCCACCAGCTGGGGGGGGACTTCAGGCACGTGGTCCTCGCTCTGGGGACGAAGGGAGCGGGTCAGACCCAGTGAGCAGAGCCCAGGGGTCCCGCCGGGGAAGGAGAAACCCACAGAAACGGCCCCCAAGTGCTTTGGGAGCAGTGGGAAAAGCAGCGCAGGCGCTCGTGGGGTGGACTTTGCCCTCTCCCTCCTGCCTGGGTGACGAGGTGCTGCCAGCCTCGCAGCTGTTCCATCCACCCCGGCAGGCACCAAACCGCTCCTCTCACTCACCTTTGGCTTCAGGTACTTCTCGATCAGGTGCTGCCCGCATTCCTTCCGCTTCTCGTCCGGAGCCACCTCGTACCCGGCCTGCACAGAGCAAACACCGTCGGGGGCAGGCCCAGCAGGAACCCAGCCCTGCTGCCAGGAGGCAGCGAGGCCCAGCCCCAGCTGGGAGCCCCAGGAAAGCCCTGTCCCGGCCCCATAGCCCCAGGGAGGGGGGACAGGGACATCCCGGTCCTTACCACGGCGTCCAGGAAGCTGACGCAGCGTGCCAGCTCGGGGCGCGTCTCGCAGAACTGCCGGAACAGCGCGCGCCCGATGGGCTGCCTCTCGCACAGGCTGTGGTAGTCCCGCTCTGCAAACGGGGACAGACAGGGTCAGGGCGGGCTCAAGGGCCTGGACAGCCCCAAAATCCCAGGAGAGGGGACCCAAGGATGAGGGGCTGCCATGATTGAGTTTTCGCAGCCCCCTGCGGAAGGCGAGCCCTCAGAGAGGCTCTGGCTGCTCCTCTGTGTGCTCTCCCCGGCTTATTTTGAGGAAGGGATCTCAGCATCTCCCCTCCATCCCCTCCCCACACAGAACTGGCAGAAACACAGCTTTTTGGGGCCCTGAGGGACGCCCTGAGCTTGTTTCGAGGCAGACCCACGCCTGGGCTCGCTCTGACGACTCCCGAACCTGCTCCGCTTCCCCAAGGCCCTGCTGAGAGCGGCGGGGCCAAAATGGGGGAACCACGTCCAGCGGTGTCCTGGTAGTGCTGCACCACGGCCCCACTGCTCGTACCCCAGGTCCCACCACCCTCTGCAGCTGGATTTCCCCTGCTGACTCCTCCGAGCCCTCTCCCTGAGGTATTTTGAGCCGGGCACCAACACCTTTGACCATCCACACTGCTTCCAGTCCTGTTTTTTTTCCCCTTTCAGTTTAAATCCCGTTTAATCACGGACCAGAACCGCTGCCCCACAGGGCTGCCTGGGACTGGAGGCGCAGCCACCCAGCACCTCGGGGTGCCCTGCACCCTCGCAGCTCCCCACACACACCTCGGAGCTTCCACCCTCTTCCTCCCTCCCCCTGCCGAATTACCGCAGCGCTGCGGTCACCGAGCTTCCCTCCAGACCTACCCCAAGCTGCAGCACCCGGCCAGGGCTCGGCACCTTCCTCAGCACCCTGCAGCACCTCACCCTGCCCTGCTCGGCCCCGGGGGCCCCCTCACACCTCCCGGTACCGCCGCCTTCCCCTGCCGGTGCTGCAGTTTGTCCCGAGGAAGCCGCGGCTTCCTGGCGGTGCTCGGCGTGCGGGGAGGCTGCCGTGGGGGCGGGGGCCGCTTCGCCAGCTCGGCTGCCCCGGCTGGTTCCCTTGTCTGCAGGGGAAGGAGTTCCCCTTGGGAGTTTGGGGCTGCCGGGATGGGTTTGGGGCTGCCCAGGCGCGCTGGCGGTGCAGCCGGCAGCCAGCCCCGCTGTGACCCCGCTGAGGGAAGCCAGCGTGTTTCTGGTGGGCTGTTTCCCCCACAAAGGGAAAATGAAGGCACTGCAGCTGCTCAGAGAGCTGTGAGTAGGGATCCGGGTGTCTCTTAACGAGGAAACCGAAAGAGGCAAGGCAGAGCGCTTCTCTCGTGCCTCCGCAGGGGGAAGTGGGGGCATGGGTGGTGACAGCCACAGGCTGGGATGGATGTGCCCACGGAGCATCGCAGGGATCCCCGAGCTGGACAGTGGGATGGCAAAAACGGGCAGAGAACCAGCACCCACCGCCAGCAGATGGGTGGTTTGATGAAGGTGAACTTCTGCTGGAACAGATACGGCACCCACAGGATGCTCTGCCGAGGGCACGGAGTGGCCAGAAATGCACAAAGAGCTCGGGGCACAAAGAGCTCGGGGCGGCCAAGGTGAGAGCTGCAAGGACAGCAGGAGCTCAGGACCTGCTCCGAGAGGCAGCAAACCAAGGCTGGAATCTCTGCCTGAGTGCAGTGGTTTTGGGCTGGGAGGTGCCAGCGTGCATGATGGAAGCCCTTCAGCCAGGTGCTGCAGTCCCACGTGCCTTCAAGCGGAGCCACCCTCGGGGTCACCAGCTCCTGGGACACCCGGGCAGTGAGGAACCCAGAGCTGTGGGCGCGTCCCAAACCCAGGCAGCCCCGTGACACCCACCTTGAACCAAGGCCAGCGCCGTGCCGCTCCGCAGCTGGCAGCCGAGGCTGGAGCGACAATTTAAACAAGCTCGCCCCTTCCCAGCAGGGACGGCATTCCCACCCTCCAGCTCCCCAAACAATTCCACCTGATGCCGGGACCAAACCTGCTGCACAAACAACGTTCAAGCCAGGAGGAGTACAAAGTGCAAAATCAAACGGACAGGCCAGGCCCTGCCCAGCTGCACAATTCTTACCCCTACGGCGCAGCAAGAACCCGCTTGGCCCCCACACACCTCCCTGACCCACGAGCTGAGCGTGTTCGGGTGTGCCCAGCTCCGGCAGCGCGGTGCCCACAGAGCCCCCCTGGCCACGGGTGCTCGCCCCCCGTCCCGACCCCGCAGCCGCTGCTCACCGAGGGCTTGCCGGAGCTCCTCGCAGAGGCTGATGTGGGGGAACTGCAGCATCTGGCGCCATTTCTTGCTCTTGCCCTTCCTGTTTCCGCCGCCACCTGCAGGGGACACAAATTTGGGGTGATGAGGGATGAACGAGGGGTGTCCTGGTGCAAGAGCAGCCACCCTGTGTCCATCCCGGGAGCGAGCCCGGGCAGGGCCTGGTGGTTTCACCACCTCCTGGGGTCAGAACAGAGCTGGATGCTTCAGCTACTTGTCTTTAAGATGGGAAAACGAAGGCGGAGGGAGCCCCAGGTCACCCCGTGCCTCGGGACCTGCGCATAACCGAGCAGCTCTGGAGGCCAAGCCCTGCTCGGTGTGAAGCTCCCCGCCGCCGGTTTCCTGCCGTGGTTACGATGCTCCTGCCACCTACTCACTCCAGGCTGATTGCTTACTCCAGGGAGGGGCTCGCGGAGAAAGGACCCGAAGAAAGCTGGGAGACAGGAATTCCTGCTCTCCTCCCGGCTCCACAGACAGCTCGCTGCCTTGCCCCGGGGCTCATGGCTTCGGTTTCCCATCTGTGAAGTGGGGACACTCCCTGCGCTCTCCCGAGATAAGGCAGCGAGATCCACCGGGCAGATATTCCCCCGGCTTCGGGTGCTGGGGCGAGCGCCCAGCGCTGTAGGACAGGGTGGGAAAGCTTCTGGAGACACCGACAGATTTACATCCCAGCCAGCAGCACGGAGTGAAACCCGCCGGGTCGCTCGCACCGGCCAACCTCCATGGGGATCCCTCCATGGGGATCCCTCCATGGGGATCCCGCGTCCCCTTTTTGGAAAGGCACCAAACGGCCCCGCTGAGCGTGGCCAAGCGCAGGGCTTCCCAAAATCAGTGTTGACCATCGTTGAGCAGCTCTTGAGAAACGCTTTCCCAAGCCGTGCCTCTGCCACAAACGCAATTCAGCCCCGTCCCCAAGGTCCGGGCTCGTGGCACCCGGTGAGGCCCGGGGGGCCCAAGGGGGACGCGCCGCGGCCCCGTGGAGCTGCGCTGCATCTGCCCCCCAAGCAGCAGCCGGGCTGCACGAGCGTACGCGCTCAGGAAGGAAGTGACTCAAGGGTATGCAGGGGTGGAAGAAACCAGCAGCGCAGACACCTTCTCGGCGGCCGCAGAAAGGACGGGGATGGCACCCGCGGCCCCGTAAGCAGGGGAGGGAGGGCAGAGCCGTGCCCCCGTAACGCCCCGGGGATGCGGGTCTGCACCCCGCAGCCCGTTCTGGAGGGAAGGAGGCTCCGGGGCCCCTCGGGCACGGCTCTCCATGGTCCCGTGGGTGATGCTGAGCGGGGAGCTCGCCCCCTGAGCGCCCTCCTTTTGGGGACGGGGCCAGCCCGCGGCTCACCGCAGAGGCGTTTCGGGGCTCGGTGACACCTCGGCCTGCTGAAACCGGCAGAGAGGGAGGACAACGGGGGAGGGCTCCTCCGCCTCCCCGGGGCCCAACTCTCCCAGGGGCTCCTCTCCTGAGCCCCCCCAGCTCCTGGCAGCGCCTCTCGGGGTCGTGGCACCGCCGGGATGTCCCGGCGGCCCCGTGCGAGGCCGTGTCTCACGTCCCGAGGTCCCGAGGCCTGCCGTCGGGCTCCGTCCGCGTTCGGCGTCGCCTGCACCGGTGCCCAGGTCCCCGTGCTGGATCCGTCTGCCCCGCAGCCCGGTTTTGGGGCAGCTCGGGGTCGCCTCCACCCCGGTGCCGTTAACCCCGGTGCTCAGGGCTCACCCCCAGCCCCTCTCATGACACTTTCGGGGGTCTCCCGGTACCGAGCACGGCCCCACACCCGGTGGGCTCAGCATCGCTCCCCCCGGTGCCCCCCGGGCCCTGCCCAGCTCCCCGGTGCCCAGCTGAACCGCGGCTCTGCCGACAGCCGCGGAGCTCCCGGTGCCCCCGGTGCCCCCGGTGAGCCACGGGGGGGGCCCGGAGGCTGGGGACGGCCTCGCCCCCGGTACCGACGGCGGCTCGGTAAGGCCCTGCCGTGCACCGGAGGGGCTGGGGACCCCCGGAGGGCCGCACGCCCGGGGGCGCTGAGCACCGCTGAGCACCGGGGGCTTCGTGCAGGGCCGGGCCCGGTCCCTCCCCGGTTTCCCAACCCCCCCCGGTTACCGGGAGCGGCCCGGTACCGGCTCCGCTCACCTTCCCGTGCCTTCAGCAGCACGGTGTTGGCCACGATGTTCTCCAGCTCCATGGGCCCGGGCCCCGCCGGCTCCGCGCCGACACCGATCGCGTCCCGGCCGCCGCCGCCTCCCCCCCCCCCCTCCCCTCCCGTCCCCTCCCGCCCGCCCCGGCCGCCGCCGCCGCCGCCGCCAGGCCCCGCCCCCTCGCGGCCCAACCAGCCAATCGCTGCCCACGCTCCTCCCGCGCCGCGCTCTGATTGGTCCGTCTCGCTCCTCCTCCCAGGAAGCCACGCCCCCCCCTCCCCACCGCCGCGCCGCTGCCCTCCCGGCGGAGGTGTGAGGGGGCGGGGCGGAGAGGGGGAAGAGCGCGTCGCGCGGCGCCCATTGGTGGAGGCCGGCGAGGGGGCGGGGCCGGGTGATGATTGGAGGGGAGAGCTGTCAGTCAGAGAGCGCAGCCGCAGCGCCGCGCGGGGATTGGGCGAGCGGCAAGGGCGCCCACCGCAGTGAGGTCCCGCCTCCCGCGGGATTTGATTGGGCCGCGAGCTGCCACTCCGCGGAGGGAGGGATCGTGATAGGGGCGTCGTGGAGGGGGCGGGGCTAGAAGGTGTTTATAAGGGGGTGCGGGCGCGGGGGGCTTGGCAGGTGGCGGTGGGTGGGCTGCGGGTTGGGTGGGTGCTGCGTTCGTTGTCGCTCTGCCCATGCAGGGCGGTTCCAGTTCTGTGCTCAGCCCCCAGCCATTGCTTTAGGAAGAGCCTTGGGTTTCTCTGCCTGTTGGCCTGGGAGCTGCTGTGCTGGTTTCTGCCCTGTTAGGGCTTGGTTCCAGTGCCCCTTTCATGCCCAAGCTCCTTTAGGGCTGGGGGTGAATACCATTGCTGGAGGCACGAACCTTCTCCTTACGCCACCTCCAGTAGCAGGGGGCTCATCCCACCCAAGGAAAGGGGCAGCCTGGGATCCTCCCTGCTCACCACCCCCAGTGTCCCCCACAAGCACCCCCTGAGCTCCATCCCCGTGTGCTCCCCTGCTCTGTGCAGGAAGGGGAAGGTTCCTCTTCCCGTTATCTCTCCCGATAACGACACAAACTGCACGGGCAGCGAGCGCTGGTGAGAACCTGCCAGGACCGTGCCTGGGCTGCCGTTTTGCAGCACCGCGGGCGGGCATCGCTGCCCCCAGCACGGTGTCAGAGCACACACACGAGGGTCCCGGTTCCCCCCCTCCAAACCTGGCTGGAGGGGGAGGGAGGGCTGCACCCCCCCGCCTGGCACAGCGCAGGGGAATGGTTCAAAAATAATCTCGACAAAGAAACAGCACGAAAACACAGGACGCGGTTCAGGTACTGCACGGGGGCAGGAATAATCGGTGCTGGCGGGGGGAATTGTTCTCCCGATCAGGGGCCGTGCTGTGCGGGATAAAGCAGCCCTCCAACACGCTCTGAATGCAAAGGGACACGGAGGGGATGGGGCAGCCTCCTCGGCCTGCTGTGCACCCTCACGCGCCCTCCCCTTGGGTATTTTTAGCCGCCAAGTGCTGGTTAATTGTGAACAGGCGAAAGGCCGGCCGCAGCAGGGGAAGCAGGCGGTGGCGATAGGGGCAGCTCCTTCCGTCCAAACCCTGCCAGTGCCGTGCCCCGTCCCACAGCATCCCCGTGGGGAGCGGGGCCGGGCCGTGCCCGGTGCTGGTGCCACACGCCAACCCGACCGGGGCCACCTGCCCCTCGCCACCCCAGTGCCCGCGTCCCTCGCTGGTCCCCGGGGCTGGCCTGGGGCCGGCGGCGTTCCTCGGGATCCGGCTCCCAGGCGCCGGCGGCTGTTTTTAGCCGAGTGAAAGTTTGATGTTTTGAGATTTTCTATTTTGAGCTGCGAAGCTGGAGAAGTCGAGGCGCCTCTGACCCCTGCGTGTCTGCGCGGAGCAGCGAGGCCGGGCTGGGCTGCCCGGCACGGGCACTGCCCCTGGGGGCTGTGGTTGCCCCTGATCATCACCCCACAATTCTCCCTCGTGCCCCGGGCCGTGACACGGTGTGTTTCTGCCTGACCCCATCTCCTGCAGCGAGATCCCGCTGAACCCCTCGAGCAGGCAATAGGGTGCTCTGCCCCAGCCCAGCACCCGTTGTGCCCCCATGGCATGGAGGGGACGGCCTGGGGAGCTCTGCTGGAGGCACTGGGCCGGTACTGGGATGCTGTGTGGCACGGCCAGCTCAGCCCAGCACCCGTGGTGCTGCTACGTGGGGGTCTCGTGTCCCCCACGGCAGCCACAGGGTCTGTCCCTGTGCTTTGTGTGAGGATGCTCAGGGCCAAATGCGAGCAGAGGAGCTGGTGTTTGCTTGGTCCATGAGGCTGTCCCTGTCCCGTGGGGGTGGCAAGGAGTGCTGGCACTCACCGGAGGTGCCACACGAGTTGTCACACCTTTTACAGGTCACCCACGCTGCAAGAAGTGCTGGGGTGGAATGGGACAACCTGGGAGAGGAACAGGGCCGGGTGCCCACAGGGGCAGCTCACCAGGCTCCCGGGAGGCAGACACCAGCCCCAGCTGTGCAATTTGTCCCTTTTTATTCACCCTCCTGCAACATCCTGCGTTTCTGAAAGTACCTCGAGACCAGGACCAGCAGCACAGCCCTCTGTGCCCCTGCTGTCCATCCCGGGGGGGCTCTAGGAGCCGTGCCGCCTGGGCGCCGCCAGGAGCCTGCGGAAAGCAGCACGGAAATCCCTGTTGAAGACGGTGTAGATGACGGGGTTGAGGCTGCTGTTGCAGTAACCGATCCAGAAGAAGAAGCTGAAGAGGGGCTTGGAGACGCGGCAGCCCTCCCCGCACACCGCCTCCAGGCTGTAGGTGAAGAAGAAGGGGAACCAGCAGAGCACGAAGGCCCCAATGACCACGGCCAGCACGATGGTGAAGCGCCGCTCCCGCACCCGCACCAGCCGCCGGCGGCACAGCGACACGCTGTGGTGCTGGCTCCAGTGCCGCCGGCCCGGTGCCACGGCCCAGGACGCCCTCCTGCTCGCCTCCCCAGGGCACGGTGCTGAGCCGCGGCGGGCGGCCAGGACCGCGGCGTTCCTGCGCGTGGTCAGGCGGTAGATGCGGCAGTAGACGGTGACCATGACGAGGCAGGGGGCGAAGAAGGAGGCGACGCAGGAGGCCAGCACGTACCACGTCTCGTCGCTCAGCTCGCACACCCGCGCCCGCGGCCGGGCTTTGAAGAGGGGCGGCAGGGCCACCAGGGCGGCCGCGGCCCACACGGCCCCGATCATGCCCTTGACGCGGCCGGGGCTGCGCCGCAGGTTGAGCCGTGCCGCCCGGGTGACGGCCCAGTAGCGGTCGAGGCTGATGGCGCAGAGGTGGCCGATGGAGGCCGTGCAGAGCAGCACATCCAGCGCCAGGTAGAGGCTGCACCACAGGCTGCCGAAATACCAGTAGCCCATCACCTCGTTGGCCAGCGAGAAGGGCAGGATGAGGATGGCCACCAGGATGTCCGCCGAAGCCAGGGACACCAGGAAAAGGTTCTGCGGGGCGCGCAGAGCCCGGCTGGTGGAGACGGCCGCCACCACCAGCGCGTTGCCCACCAGTGTGGCCAGCAGGACGGCGAGGACGGCCAGCAGGATGAGCCCCGTGGCCGCCGGGCCGTGCGGGGGGCTGCCGGCCTGGCTGCCGTTACCGGAGGCATTGGGGAGGGTGCCGGTGGCCTCCATGCTGGCCCGGCCCCGGCCCCTCCAGGTGGCCGAATCCCCATGGGGCTGCCCCCCGCTGCGTGCACCCCGCTCACCGCAGCCTCTCGCCGCTCGGCCCCTCCATCGCCGACCGCCCCGGGCGTCCCGACCACCGCGGCTCCCGAGCTGACCCGGTCCGGCGGGGCAGAAGCGGTGTCCCCCAGCCCGCTGCCTTCGTGCTGTCCCCACAACAGCCGGCAGCGGCTCGGCGGCAGCCCCGCTGGCTCGGGCAGCCCGTTTCGTCCCAGCCCTGGGGAGGAGGGAGGGCGGGAAGCGGGGAGGGAGGGACGGCCGGACGGCTGCTATCTCTGGCAGGAGCCCAAGCATCTGTGGGCAGTGGGAGAAGCAGTTCTTGCCCGTGCTTAAAGAGCTCCTGCCAGGGTCACCGGGAGGGTTGTGGGCTCGTGCTGTGGGGCCGGGGCACTGCGCTGTGGTGCTGAGCCAGCATCCTGCTGAGCCCCAACCCACAGCACCTCTCCGGCTGCCCCGTGCCGTGTCCAGCTCACCAACACGCTGCCTGGTGTAGCACCGACCCTATCCCTCCAGCTCAGCCCTTTGGGGACGAGGGAGGTGGAGGAAGATGCTTGGTGCTTCCCCAGTGCTGTGGGCAGGCTGCAGGGCTGTGGGTGGGTGATGTACGGGGACAGGGGGGGACGGTGGGCGCCCAGCAGGACTTGTAGGGGCAGGAGCTGAAATCTCACACCCCTGGGTGCTCAGCCTTTATTAGTCACCAGCAGAACGGGGACGCTGCAAACCAGAACAGGGGCTGCGCACCGGGTACCACCTAGAGCCGGGTGGCACCATGTGGGGTCAGGCGTGGGGAACCCACCCGGACCGCGGCACCCGGCATCTCCTCGGGGTAGGAGAGCGCGGGGTTGTCCAGCCCCAGCCTGGCCTTGTCGCGGGCAGCGCCCTCGCGCTCGTCCCAGCCCTCGGGGCTGCGGCAGCGGTCGGTGCAGCACAGCGCGGCGCGCGTGATGAGGTTGTCGAGGGGCTGCAGCGAGTGCATCCAGGCCGGGAGGAAATCCCAGGTCTGCAGCCACTTGGGCAGGCGGCCGGGGCTGCGCGCCTGCAGGGCGTTCACCAGGCCCACGAAGAAGAGGAGGCCGAGGAAAGGGGCGCCCACCCCCACCAGCACCCGCCAGCCCGCCATGGAGATGCCGAAGATGAGGGAGGGCAGCAGGAGGAAGCAGACGATGAGGTAGAGCACGGCGAACCAGCGGTACTTGGCCGTGCGCTCGCCCAGCGCCTTGGCCATGCGGATGGGCAGGCGGGTGAAGGGCAGCGGGTACCACAGCAGGATGCCGGAGATGTTAAAGAAGAAGTGGCACAGGGCGATCTGCGGGGACGGCTGCCTCGTTAGCCCGGGCACACGGGGGTGTGTGGGCTTCCCCCCGTGGCACCCGGCTGCCCGTACCTGGAAGGAGCTGGCCAGTTTGTCCCCCGGGCTGGCCAGGGCGGCCAGGATGGCGGTG